ATTAACAGAACTATAAATTCTCTCTCCCTTTGCATGTGTGTGTGTGTGTGTGTGTGTGTGTGTATACAGGCTGTTCAAAACACTTCTTGCTTCTTTTGTATAGACTTTGCTCCACTGAGGTTGGCTTGACCACTGGTACGTTTGGAAGACGTGGTCTTCCATGAGATCCGCAGGTAGAGGCTGCTCCTTCAGCCAGAGTTTCGGATTCACGATGATGAAGAGCACCGTGCACATGTGATACGAGGGTGTGATAAACATTTGCCATTGTAAAACATGAACCTAGCTTATACTAAAGTGGCACAGATGCTTTAACAAAATAGTGGGCAGACCTGAGAGCTTCAAGGGACACAAAGGGGTTTCTTCTTATTTTGGCTCTTCAAAGAAAATTATTTCTGTTATTTTGTTGTTGTTGTTATTAGGCCAGAAGATCTTTATTATTCCATAAAAAGTATGATCTCCTTGTAAAGACTCATGTCTTCTGATAAAAATAGTCTTAATATGTTCTGACTGACCTTGATGTGTTCATGCTCCAAGAAATGGAGAAGGAAGAAAGAAGCAGTGGGCAACCCCATAATGGGCTTCATTCATTTCCATGTAAAATAAGAATGCAAATGGTATTTGGACATAGAGAAGAGATACAGGCAAAAATGAAAAGACTGTGGCCTTTGAAATTAGATTAAAATCAAGCAGATTGTAAATACAAAGATTGAGGTAGTGTCAGCGAATTACAAATAATGGATGCATTCACAGAGCAGATCAACCTGAATGATGCTGACATCAGCTATATAGCAATTTATAATCTGTGTGTAATGAGTAAAAGTTATGCAGTAACAGTAGTTAAATAGCAATGAAATTAAATGGAGAGTAAGGTACTTAAAAATTCACATAAGTGTTCTCTTTGACTTAAGGGCATTTGGGGATGAAGTTAAAAGCGGCTTCACAATTAACCTGCTATAGGAACAGAAATTCGAACGACACTCCCAAGCTACGTAGGAAGGGATCAGGAGTCATGATAGATTTTCCCACAATGTCCCACAGAGGGACAAAATAGTAAATCTTCGATTGCAAACTATTACAAACACAACTGAAATATTATTGTCCCTTTGTAGAAGGGGGGGCCTCTGATGGGGGCGCCTGGGTGGGTCAGTCGGTTAAACATTTGCCTTTGGCTCGGGTCAGGATCCCAGGGTCCTGGAATTGAGCCCCACGTCGGGCTCCCTGCTCTGCAGAGAGCCTGCTTCTCTCTCTCCTTCTGTCTGCTGCTCCTCCGGCTTGTGCTCTCTCTCTGACAAATAAACAAAATCTTAATTAAAAACAAACAAACAAACCTCTGATGAAATTCTCCCTGGGATACTGATGCCATTCTTCTGTCTGCAATTGGAAAAAAGTCAGAATGAATTAGAGAATGCCTAGAGAAGGCAATTAAAATGAGCTCAGAATGGAGAGCTATTGACGTAATGGCCAAACAAGTACTCACCTACAATATGCTTAGCATACGGTCAAATATTATGAAGGGACGGACAAGTTATCACTTACTAAATGCTGTAAATACCACAGGCAATGTGCGGAGCGCCTTAGTACTCGATCTATTTAAACCTCAAAACAACTATGTATAAAGTAGGTGTTTATAGCAGAGACAGCTGCTCACCACAATTTGGAGTCTTTCCTTTTTGGGTTCACAGCTAGACTGCTTTTTTTCCAGGCTCCCTTGAAGTTAGCTGTGATCAAATGGTTAAAGAGAAAAATATATTTTTTTTAAAAAAGATTTTATTTATTTATTCATGAGAGACACACAGAGAGAGGCAGAGACAGGCAGGGGGAGAAGCAGGCTCCCTGCGGGGGGGCTTGATGTGGGACTCGATCCCAGGACCCCGGGATCACGACCTGAAGGCAGATACTCACTGAGCCACCTGAGCATCCTGAGGAAAAAAAATATACTAAGACTAAACACTGAGCTCTCAGTGAAGAAAAAACACGATGCATCCTTAATAGAAGCACAATTTTCCCTAGAACTTAGCTTTGAACAGGACACATTTTACAGAGCACCTACGCAGCACTCACGGCACTAAATAGGATGCTTTTCATCTGGGCGCATGATTAATAAATGAATGTGGGCAAAGAGGATGGAAAATGCAGTGTTTGTTGTTGATATTCATTCAAGTCCTTCACATGGGGAAGGACGGCCAATACTAAATGACTGGAGCAGAGCCAAAATGTTTTTACAAAATATAACCGGAATGCACCGCATTTTAAAAACTGTCTTCTTGAGATATAATTCACACACCCATAATTCACCCTTTTACCATGTGTAATGCAATATTTGTAGTATATTCACAGAGTTGTGCAAGCACAGCTACAATCTCATTTTAGAACATTTCATCCCCCCTTGAAAGAAACTGTATACCCATTAATTCCCTGTCCCCTGCCACTTGTCCCCCAGCCCTAAGCCCCCAGCTGACTCTTGGTCACTCTAAATTTGCCTATTTGGAAAATTTCATTTAAATGAAATTGCACTATGTGTGATTTGTGCTGTGATGGGCTTCTTTTACTTAGCGTAATGTTTTCAAGCTTCATCCATGGTGAGGCATGTATCAGTACCTCATTCCTTTTTCATGGCTCAGTAATATTCCAGTGTATGGATATACCACTCCTTGTCTATCCATTCATCAGCTGGTGCACGTTTGGGTCGTTTCCACTTTTTGGCTATTAGAAACACTGCTTCTATGAACATGTGTGTACAAATTCTGCATGTTTTCATTTCTCTGGGGTCTATAGACTCACCCAGGGGTACTGCTAGGTCGTATGGTAACTCTATTCCTTAATCATTTGAGGAATTACCAGACTATTTTCCAAAGTGGCTACTCCATTTTGCATTCCCACCAGCAACGTAGAAGAGTTCCACTTTCTGACAATCGTTGCCAACAGTTGTGACTGTCTGACCTCTTAATTAGAGCCCACTTAGTGAGTGTGAAGTGGTATCTCATTGGGCTTCTGATTTGCACTTCCCTAATGAAGTGATCTGAATAGTCTTTGTGCTTATGGCTACTTGTATATGTTCTTCGGAGAAAGGTCTATCAAATCTTGCTCGTCTTTCAATTGGGTCGTTACTGTTGACTAGTGTTTTTATTTTATTTTTAGATTTTATTTATTTATTCATGAGAGAGAGAGAGAGAGGCAGAGACACAGGCAGAAGGAGAAGCAGGCACCAGGCAGGGAGCCCGACGTGGGACTCAATCCTGGGTCTCCAGAACCAGGCCCTGGGCTGAAGGCGGCATTAAACCGCTGAGCCACCCGGGCTGCCCAGTATTTTTAAATGTGTATTCTTGAATACCGGTTCCTTACCAGATGTACGATTTGAAAATACTGTCTCACAGGATGTGCACCTTTTTTTTTTTTGCTTTTTTGATAGTGTCCTTTAAAGCACAGAACTTTTCTTGTTTGTTTTTATTTTTTAAAAAAGATTTTATTTATTTATTCATGAGAGACACAGAGAGAGAGGCAGAGACACAGGCAGAGGGAGAAGCAGGCTCCATGCAGGGAGCCCGACGCAGGACTCGATCCCAGGACTCCAGGATCATGCCCTGGGCTGAAGGTGGCGCTAAACCTCTGAGCCACCCGGGCTGCCCCAAAGCACAGAACTTTTAATTTTGATGAGACCCAGTTTATCTCTTACGTTTTTTGTCACTTGGGCTTTGGGTGTCATTTCTAAAAGCCCACTGCCTAACTGAATATCCTGAAGATATGCTCTTATGTTTTCTTCTCCAAGTTTTATAGTTTTACGTCTTTCAGTTAGGTCTTTGATCCATTTAGAGCTAATTTTTGTATACTGTGTGAGATGGGGGTTCTACTTTATTCTTTTTCAGGTGAACATCCACTTGTTCTAGAACCATTTGTTTGAAGACCATCCTTTCCCCCTTGCCTAATCGTCTTGGCAAGTTTGTTGAAAATTACCTGATCCCAATGGAGAGAGTTTGGACTCTCAGTTCTGGCCCATTGATCTATACGCTGTCCTTGTGACAAGGTGCTAGTAAGTGAGTGGCTTGGAACTCTTGGCTCAAAACCGCTGGGGACTTGGAGCACCAATTGCACTTAAGCGATTCTTACACTTTGAGGCAACTCATCACTGTTCCATTTCAGAACAAGCTTTCTGGAAGTGATCAATCAACGATAAGCTCTTCTAAAAAAATAAAGCGAGGGCACCTGGGTGGCTCAGAAGTTGAGCACCTGCCTTTGGCTCAGGTCGTGACCCTGGAGACCCAGGATCGAGTCCTGCGTCGGGCTCCTTGCATGGAGCCTGCTTCTCCCTCTGCCTGTGTCTCTGCCTCTCTCTCTCTGTGTCTCTCATGAATAAATAAATAAAATCTTAAAAAACAAAAAAAAATAAAGCGAATTAAAATAAACTGCTTTCAGAAGGTTCCAAAAAAAAATTTCTGTCTCTGCCTCTCATGAATAAATAAATAAAAATTTTAAAAAATTAAAGCGAATTAAAATAAACTCATTTCAGAAGGCTCCAAAAAAAAATGTCAAGGCTCCCCGGGGTGTGGTAATATTTGAGGGCGCACCGTGGGCCTGGCTCGCCGGCTCCCCCGGGGATGCAGGGATGCGCGCGTCTCCCCTGCGTCCTCACTCTCCAACATCGTCTTGCATGGAGTCAGGAGGGCAACACGGTGCCCTCCCATCAGCTATTTTCTCTCCCCTGAGGAAGGGCTGCGACGTCTCTAAAAGCCACGGAAAATCCGGGCGCCCCTAGAATGGTCGCAGCGCCCTGGGGGGGGGGCGCCTGCTTAGCGCGGAGCTGAGAGGGCGCAGCGGGCTCCGTGGCGCCGAAGCCAAGGTCCTGGGGCCCCCTCCCGCTCGCAGCGCGCGCCGCGCCCCTTCCCCGGACTGGTCCCGACGGCGGGCTCCGAGGCCCCAGGAGGCGGCGCGGGCTGGGCGGGGGCGGGGGCGAGGGCGGCGGCGGCGGCGGGGCCCCACCCCACCCCACCCCGGCCCGGCCCGGCTGGGGCTCCCAGGGCGCGGCGGGGCGGGCGCGCGCGGCTATGGCCGGGCTGTGGCGAGAGCTGCTCCTGGAGAGCCTCCTGGGTAAGTCGAGGCCGCCGGCGCTCGCGCGGGGGCCGGGAGGGAGCACAGCGGGCGGCAGGCGAGTGCCCTGGAAACTTGTGGCGCCCAAGCCAAGAATTAAAAAAAAAAAAAAAAAAAAGCCAAAAAAAGCAGCAGCGAAGATTTAGATTGAGGATTCCGGGGGTGGGGGGTGCAGTGGGATGCGCCCTGCTGTCCGCGTGGAGGCCCCGCCCCCGCCCCCCAGACCTCCAGGCTGCGGAGCCTCAGCCCGGGGCCCTAAGCGCGGGGGCGGCCCGGGGCGCAGGTGCGCGGCGCGTCCCTAACCCGCCCAGGCCCCCGCGGCGGCGCCCCCAGCGGCCCGGAGAAGAGGCCCCGAGAACGACTGCGGGTGTGCTCGTGCCGGACTCGGAGGATTAGAATCGGAATTCCCAGACACACGTTTGGGAGCAGGCTGTAATCTCGGGGGTCATTGGGAAGCACTCCTTTGGCCCGGAGAGGCTCCTTCCTAAAGATTTTCTGCAAGCTGCTGATATATATATTTTACGATTTTATTTATTTATTCATGAGAGAGGGGGTGTGGTGGGGCAGAGACCCAGGCAGAGGGAGGAGCAGGCTCCATGCAGGGAGCCCGACGTGGGTCTCTATCCCAGGTCTCCAGGGTCACGCCCTGGGCTGCAGGCGGCGCTAAACCGCTGGGCCACCCGGGCTGCCCTTGGAAGCTGCTGATATTCAGAAGCGTCCTCCTCCCTCCCCCCCTTTTTTACCCTGGCTCAGAACGTGTCTTCTAAGTACAGGGGCGTGAAGTGAGTCACATTCAGCAAGTACCCAGGGTGCCGGGTGCTGGGCCCTCCGTCGCACTTGGCGCTCACAGCCCTGTGAGGTCCCTGAAAGAGCTACTCTGTTGCTTAAGGAAGTTGGGCTGAGAAGGGGCGGGGGGGGGGGTTACTATGCAGGTGGTTACACAGCTGCCCTCGCAGCCAGACTCCCCGGGTGGAGGTTCGCTCTTGCCGCCAGCTCCTCTTTCCACCTTGGGCTATTATATTGGGAAATCTCAGAAGTTTTTTGTTTTCACGTTTGTAAGAGGGGGGCAAAAAGTGTCCATTTCACGGAACATGAGTTGGATGAGGAATAAGAAGGACGATCTCTGTAAATATTTAGCACAAAGGCTGGCACCGCGTAAGTGCCCACTAGTTCATTATCATTCCTGTAGAGGATCCTACCGTCAGTAGTTGGCAGAGGTGAGCCTGACTTCAGTTCTAGGTCTTCCACTACCCTATACTGTCTCCTAAGGTTAGGTTTTGAAAATCCACTTAAGAGAAAATGATTGTTGCCTAACTAACCTGCCTTGGGGTGTGGTCTGGAGTGGGAGGAAGAGAGTTGAGTCCTGCTGTTTGTCTCTTTCTTCCTTTCCTTTCCTTTCCTTTCCTTTCCTTTCCTTTCCTTTCCTTTCCTTTCCTTTCCTTTCCTTTCCTTTCCTTTCCTTTCCTTTCCTTTCCCTTCCCTTCCCTTTCCCTTTCCCTTTCCCCATTCCTTCCCTTTCCTTTTCCTTCCCCTTCCCTTCCCTTCCCTTTCCCTTTCCCTTCCCTTTCCCTTTCCCTTTCCCTTTCCCTTTTCCCTTCCCTTCCCTTCCCTTCCCTTCCCTTCCCTTCCCTTCCCTTCCCTTTCCTTCTTCCACCCAATGCGGGGCTTGAACCCACAACCAGAGAGAGCAAGAGTCGCATGCTCCTCCAGCTAAGCCAGCCAGGCACCCCCCTTTGTTTCTCTTTTTGATTCTCATGATGTTGCTCTTTATAGAAGGGTTGACTTAGATAAAGACATTTCATCAGTTAGGGTCCTAACAGAAAATCCAGTTCAACCCAGATGATCCAGATGAAGAGGTTTCAAGAGAAGGCTGAGCTTGCAGGTGTGAACAAGCTTAAAGGAATAAGCGGGGTGTTAAGGGACTCACCACAGCAGGCCCCATGCTCCTCCTGGGACATTATGCTGCTGGTGTGGGAAGGAGGGGAATTTGGTAGTGGAAGCTGGTTGAGGTCAGAACGGTGAAGGAGGGCGGACCAGCCAGAGGGGGTACAGTGGCAGGATATCTGTTTGTAACAAGGACACATTTACACTTGCTCCTTAAACTTTGTTTTTTTTTTCCTCCCCCTAGGATATGTTTCTTGGTCTCTCTGCCATGGCCTGGGACCAATGATCTATTACTTTCCCCTGCAAACTTTAGAACTCACTGGGCTTGAAGGTTTTGGCATAGCATTTCTTTCTCCAATATTCCTCATACTTACTCCTTTCTGGAAATTGGCTAACAAGAAGTGGATGCTAATCCTGTTGCGGTTAATTACTGTGGGTAAGATTTAAAAGTGCTTCTTTTTTTTTTTAAGGATTTTATTCATCTGTGTGTGAGAGAGAGAGAATGAGTGTGAGCACGAGCAGAGGGGAGGAGCAGAGGGAGAGGGAGAAGCAGGCTCCCCATTGAGCAGGCAGCCCAACATGGGGCTTGATCCCAGGACCTGGGACCATGACCTGAGCCTAAGGCAGATGCTTAACCGACTGAGCCAGGCACCCAGGTGCCCCTAAAAGTGCTTCTTTAAGGATTTTTTTTTTGGGGGGGGAAACAAGTGAAAATATGTAGACTGTTCTTTGAATGTTAAATGATGAAATGAAACAAGATTCCTCTTTCTCTTACAACTACCTGAGAGAGTTTTAGTGGAACTGGAAGGCTAGACCAAAAGGCCACGTCTTTTACATTTCTAACTTTTCTGCCAGATTGGAAAGCCTGAAAAAAAAATCACTGAAATGAAGAGGGAGAACAGGCCAACTCTTGAACATTTTGTGTTCTTTTTCCACCTATGACATACAAGTCAGAAACCATTAAAAATTGTTGAAAGCTACTGCATGAAAAGAGGAAAATTATGCATGAGGAGTGCTATATAGTGAGCAAAGTCAAGCAACGAATTAGGAGAGATACTTGCAACTCTTAGTCAAAGAGCTAATTTCACTAACATACAGAGTTCTTATAAATCAGTAATAAAAAGGACCAATAGCTCAATAGATAACAGAACAAGGAATACAATCAGTTTATTGGAAAGGAAATATAATTGATTCTTAAAAAACATTACAATGAATACAAATAACACCCATATATTTGTATGTAGCTTCATGTACTGGATTGCCAAAGAACAAAATCAAGTAACACTGTATTACAAGGATGGGAAAGCAGGTGCTCAGACATTGCTGGTGGGAATATAAATTGGCACAAGTTCTGCCAATAATAATTTAGCAGCATTTATCAAAATTAAAAAGGTATATACATTCTCTTTTGCTCAGCAATTGTACTTCTAGGAATATAGCCTACGGATATACTCACATGCATGTTAAAAGGGTAAAAATACAAGGTTATTTAATCATTGCAACAATATTTATAATCACAAGATAAGAAATAACCTAAATGTCATGTATATAAGATAGGTTAAGTAAATTATGGTTTTGAAACTTGGAATACTACAGAATACTGTGCAGCTACATAAAAGAATGAGACATTACTTATCTAAGGAAATGGCATGTTTTTTAAAATATGTTAAGTGAAAACCAAAAATGCACTAAACTGTGTGCAGAATGCTAACATCTGTGTAAGAAAGTTTAAATGGAAATATATTTAGTATCTAATTGAACATGCATTAAATAGCCTTAGAAGGATTAAAAAACCATAGCATTTTAATTGCTTGAATATGGTATCTAGCTAGACACAGGCATGAAAGGGAAACTTAAGGACATATACCCTGGTATCTTTTGAATTCTGAATTTGAGAATGTTACATTGCCGAAAACTAGCAATGAAAAATTGTGGGTTAAAAAAAAAAGAAAAATTGTGGGTTTTTTTTTTGTTTTTAGCAATTAAGAATTTTAAATGTACACTTACTATCGCAAAGAATTGAGAATGTTCATATTAATAAATATTGGGAATCCCTGAAGAGGCACCGGTAGTAAAAATGTAAGAGGGTGGGGTCACGAAAGAAACATGTTTTCTAAACAGAAACACCAGACCCCACTGGGGTTGACTCCGTGGCTGAGAACTCTGGATGTCTTGCCCTTCTGCTCTAATGCACTTGGCTTCTCTGAGTGGTTTCCAAGTGGCATTTGTTCATGAACCACGCTGTATATTCCTTCTCTCCGGAAGCAGTCAGTTGACTTTTTTTCCCCAGAAACAGTGGCAGGGATTACTGGGAAATTGCCTCTGCTTTTCTATGGGCCAGCCCCTGGAGGAAGCAGAACAAGGTTAGTGCAGTGAGTTCTGCGGAGACCCACGAGGATGCAGGACTCTGGCTTTTTAAGATCTGAGCTCAGAAAGAACAGTGGTAGAGACCACTGGGGGAAAAAAATGCCCCATATATGAAGACGGTCTCCATAGGAATGGAAAGACCCATCAAACGGCTGTGAAAAACGTCAGCTCCAGAAATAATAGAAACGAGACATTCTACCCTGAATTGAGTCCCTAGTAACTGAGTGAAACTGCCCTGGGCTTGCAGCAGCCTTCTCTTGAGTTACTGGGGCCGAGTGTTGCAAGTTTCATTTTCTCATCCCATTCCCTGGTTGGCTTTATGGGAATGGTCTCATCAGCGGCCCCTTTCCGGTTGCTTTTGCTCAATGCTGCTTGTACCAGCCTTACCCACAAAGTTATGGACTGAGAGTCCCTGGGGCAGTTTTTGATTATTTAAGTCCACTTCTGGTCGCTGTAAGGGATGTGATATTACTAAGTCTGGGGGAGGGGGTGGTGTTTGGGATGCTTCCTGTTGTTCTCCTTTCACCTCCTTCCTCTTTGAAGACCCATCACCTTGAGTAGAGGTAGACACAATTTTAAGAAAACAGCGTGGGTAGGAGAGTGACACAGAGATGAGGATGAAGAGGCGGTGTCGGCCAGGTGCTCTTCTGGGTGGCCACCGAGCTTTGCTGAGGCTAAACAGAGGCTGATGTAAGCCATGCTTTGCCTTACAACTCCTTTCAGATGCTTCCTACGGAAGTGAAACAACTTGGTGTTTCAAGAGGCCTAAGGTACCTAATGTAACCCCGGACAAGATCTGGGTGTTACATGCTATCGTCTCTGGCGCCTCAGCTATTTTCTTTTCTTTTCTTTTTTTTCTTTTCTTTTTTCTTTTCGTTTCGTTTCTTTTCTTTTCTTTTTTTTCTTTTCTTTTCATTTCTCTTTTTCTTTTCTTTTTTTTTTAAGATTTTATTTATTCATGAGAGACACAGAGAGGCAGAGACATAGGCAGAAGGAGAAGCAGGCTCCATGCAGGGAGCCTGATGTGGGACTCGATCCCGGGTGTCCAGGATCATGCCCTGAGCCAAAGGCAGGCGCTCAACTGCTGAGCCACCCAGGGATCCCAACCTCAGCTATTTTCAGCAAATTACTATGCACTCAACTATTAAACTGCTTCATACTCCTATTGGTTTAGGTTATTTCTTTCCTTAAAAATTTTGATCCAAAAAAATTTTTTTTTTGATCCACTAGAATGGCTATAATCAAAAAGACAGGTAGCGACGAGCATTGGCAAGGATGTGGAGCATCTGGAACCCTCACACATTGCTGGCAGGAATGTGAGCGGTGCAGCCGCTTTGGAAAACAGTTTGGCAGCTCCTCAAAATGCTAAACAGAGTTACCACCTGACCTAACAGCACCACTCCTTGGTGTAGACCCAAGAAAAACGAAAACAGTGGTTCACATATTACCTTGTAGGCAAACAGTTGTGGCAACTTTATTCTTAATAGCCAAAGGATGGAAACAACCCAAACGCCCATCCCTGATGAATGACTGCACAAAACGCACTCTGTCCCGGCAGTGGAATATTATTCAGCCATAAAAAGGAACAAAGTACTACAGTATGGAGAAGCCTTGAGAACCTTATGCTAAGTGAAAGAAGCGGTCACAGAAGGCTGCACATTACATGGTTCCATTATACAAAATGCTCAGAATGGGAAAAATCCATACAGACAGTAAGCAGATGAGTGATTGCCAGGGGCTGGGGGAGAAGGGAGGAAGAAAAAAGGAGTGTCCGTTAATGGGTATAGATTTCTTTTTTTGGGGTGGCAAAAATGTTCTGGAACTAGATAGTGGTAATAGGTTTTTTTTTTGATAGTGGTAATAGTTGCACAACTTCGTGAGTGTATTAGAAACCATCGAACTGTACACTTTAATGTAGTAGATTTTATGTTGTCACGAATGACATCACAAATTTTTAAAAAAAGATTATGTATTAACTCGTGTGTATGTTATATTAACTTTGTCTTCCTGAGTGTAAAGATGGCATCAGATGCAACAGTTATCAAATGCCGATGGTGCAGTTCCTGTGCGCGGTTGCTAGAAATGTTTAGCTCTCCTTCGTTCGTTTGCAGGCAGCATAGCCTCCTTCCAGGCTTCGAATGCCAGGGTTCGGCTGGTGGTCCTTGCCCTTGGTGTGTCTTCCTCGCTGATCGTGCAGGCTGTGACGTGGTGGACAGGAAGTGGCCTGCAAAGGTATGGTATCTCATGTCTGTAGACAAAGGTTCGCATCTTACGCCCGTAGACAAACACGTGTGATCACTTACGGACGGGGAAGTTGGGACCAGGAGTTCCAAGTGATAGTATTCATTTTGCATGTAGCTGGTAAAAGTCTCTCTCTCTCTCTCTCTCTCTCTCTCTCTCTCTCTCTCCCTCCCTCTCTTTTTTTTTTCCTTTTCTCAAAATCAGAACATGAATGCCATCAGTCTCCATAATATTTCGAGACTTAAGGAATCATAAGTTGCCTGGGTAATGGATGATATAAAGACTAAGGCATGTTCCTTACTGCAAATTACTACTCACAGGACTATTTCATACCCTCGTTCTCTGAAATTATGAAATTCACTGTGAACACAGTACAGTGAAACCCCATCAAGAAGTCGTTAAACGTATTTTTCGTACTTACAGGTTCCTCCGAATCTGGGGATTCATTTTAGGACAGATTCTTCTCCTTGTTCTCCGCATATGGTACACTTCGCTAAACCCAATCTGGAGTTATCAGATGTCCAATAGAGTGATACTGACATTAAGTACCGTAGCCACACTTGATCGCATTTGCACAGGTAAGGGTACGCCCAATTTATTTAGGAATTTGCTCTCTTGCATAGTTTACTTTTCTTATCTGAATGCAACACACCTTGAAAAGATAGAAAGTCTTTCTGCACGCTCTCTCCTTTTCAGTTTTCTTTCCCTCTGAAATAGGGAGAGTTTCCCTTTTCCTCTGAAACCGGCACAGCCAGTGGAGTCTATCTAAGCAGAAGGCACCTTTTCCTTGCTAGAACAGAGGGGGAAAATAAAAAGCCATTTCTGGCTCCTATCAGTGTGGGGGGGGAGGGTAAACCAGGCCTCAGACTCCCAGCTGGCTCCCAGCTCTGTCTTTCTCCCTTTTCCATCTGGATGGGGCTTCCCGAAATGAGACCCTGCATCTAGGAAGAGAGATCTCTTCCTCTGTCCTGACCCCAGGATATCCCTTAAGCCTATGAGAAGTTAGTTGTGAGCAAGGGCTGTGAGAACTATCTAGGCTTGTGTGTGTGTGTGTGTGTGTGTATTTTCTTTTCTGGGATATATATATATATAAATTATTTATATAAATCTATAAATTTAGATTATTTATTAATTTATTTGAGAAAGAGAAGCAAACAAGCAGGGGAAGGCTAGAGGCAGACAAGCAGAAACGTGGGGTGGGGGGTGGGGGCCTTGATCCCAGGATCCTGAGATCAGGACCTGAGCTGAAAATCGAGAGTCAGAGGCTTAACAGATGGAGCCACCCAGGCGCCTTGGGAATCTGAAGATATTTCAGCTCCAAGTCTGAAGCTTGAAAAGAAAGGAAATCTTGCATATTTACAGCCCCTTTGAAGTCCCCTGTCTCCCTCTGGAGCTGGCTTTCTCAGAGACGTACACACACCCAGCTTGGATGTTTGCTCCATATGTTAACTTGAGATCCTTCTGAAAAAAAGGGAGAAGTGTTACTAGATTCTGGTTAACTTGCACCTGGCTTTTTGTGTAAGTCTCAGTGAGTCACTGTTCTTTTGTCCACACCAGGAGAAATCTCACAGATTAATGGAAGTGTAGAAAACTTTGGCTCACCGTGAACAAAGTGTATAATCCCCCTCTGGCCCCAATTTTGGCATGAAACCGGGGCATTGGGAATAAGGGGGCACTGGGCCAGCAAATTGGCCATTAATATTAGAACGTTTAGGACGCAGTCTGGCGCCCTAATACATGCTTTGTGTTTTATGAAACAGTAACACCCAAAGGCGGCAACTCAGGCGGCAGATTTCACAGGTACAGCCTGATAAGGATTGAACGTCAGGGTATCGTTTAACATTTCCTGACTTGAGTTTTCTTCTTTCTCTCCCGTTTTAAATGTATGTGACCCAGTTGTGGGTCCCTTCCTGCTTTTGCCCTGTGCCTCATTTACAAAATTCCAGACTCCTCACCAGTTTCCCCAGAATATCCGATCCACCAGGCATTTTTGTAGTTTTATTTTTTTTTTTCATTTTTGTAGTTTTAATCGAAGCTTAGGTGGGGCCCCGGGGGAGGAGTCCCCCACCGGAGGACACAACAGTGATGATGAGCAAATTTAGTTTAGAGCTCTCTTTCCCTAAAGACTGCTCAGTCTCCCGGCCTGGCCTCCTCTGTCTTCACACCCGCCCCAGCATCCCTGCAGTTCCCAGCTCTGCTCCTGTCCTTTGACTCCTTTATTAGCAGGAATGGCTTTCCTCCTCCTTGTGAAGTCGCTACTAGCCCCAGAGGCAGACCCGAGGGCTTTCTTCTACCCTGCAGAGACCATTACCTGTATCACGGGGCATCTGCCCAACAGGTTCTCTGTTCCTACAAAGAAATTCTTCTGCTCAGGGTGTGATGAATCCTGCAGGGAGCCTGCTTCTCCCTCTGCCTGTGTCTCTGCCTCTCTCTGTGTCTCTCATGAATAAATAAAATCTTACCAAAAAAATTCGAAAAAAAGAAATTCTTCTGCCCGCATTCTGCCCAATTCTTAGGTTTTTGTACTTGAAGTCATTGCTGCGATGGAAGGAGAAGACCTCTCAGTTAAAGAGTCCCATGAAGTATGGTACAGTTAGGCCCACAGGCACCGGAACCCGGAGCTCTTTTTACCAGCAACATGATCTTGGACAAGTGACTTGTTCTCTCTGGGCCTCAGTTTTCAAATCTGTAAAATGGGACTAGCAATAGAGTCTGCCTCATGAGTTGTGAGGATGGAATGAGTTCATGACCCTCAGTAACTGCTGTTCCTCCGGGCACATAGCAGGTTACATGAGAGCCCTGTTCTGTGGAGGACACGGCCGGTATCCTGGTTGTGGACGCCTCTGCTCCCCAAACATACCAGCCCCTTTTTCTCTATATATTTTTGCTCATACTGTTAACTTCACATGAAGTAAATAACTTGCTGAATTTTCTTTCTTTCTCTCTCTCTCTTTTTAATATTTTATATATTTATTTGAGAGACAGACAGAGAGAGGGCTCAAGTGACGGGGAGGGGCAGGGGGAAAAGGAGAAGCAAACTCCCCCCTGAGCAGAGAGCCTGATGTGAGGCTCCATCCCAGGACCTTGAGATCATAACCGGAGCCAAAGGCAGACGCTTAACTGACTGAGCCCCCCAGGCGCCCCACTTGCTGTGTTTTCACTTGTGAAATTCCAGAATGCTTGGGTCTCTCTTACCATTCCCGATCCAGCCTGCCTGGAATGGTCTCTCCCGCCAACTAGCTTCTCAGCACGCTCTGCTCTGTATTGTAGTTTCATGTTTCAACTTTCCTTCTGAAATAAGCTCCTGGAAGCCAGGTGCCATCTCCTAACTTGCTAAAAGTCCGTGAAAGGTAGAGGGTAAATTTCCCCATAACTGACTCTTTTCCATTTTTTTATCCTAGACGGCGACGGCAATAAACCAGAGGGAAAAAGACCTGGAGAGGCAGCCAAGGGCACGGCCTCCAGACCTGCCTGGTGGTTGGCAGGGGCTGCCTTTGGCAGTCTCGTGTTCCTCACCCACTGGATTTTTGGAGAGGTCTCGCTTGTTTCCAGATGGGCAGTGAGTGGGCACCCCCACCCAGGGCCAGATCCTAACCCCTTTGGGTGAGTTTCAATTTCAGAGCAATCAAGAATTTGGCTATTATGGTTGAAGGAAGAAGTACTTCTTTTGCCAGGTAGATATTTCATATTTCCCTTTCCTGAGATAGCAAAAACACTGCGTGGCATTATTACGTGCGTACCGTGGAGATGGAGCCAGGGGTGTCCGCCCCCGTGCTGAAGGATTGCTGGAAAGCAGGTGATGGGGGGCTAAGGGATGTGCACGGCTACATGAGAGGTTCTGGGAGCTCCTGCTTGGGCCCTCTGAGGAATCCCCGCATGGACGAGCATCCTCAGGGGCAGGAAAGACAGTTCCTCCAGACCCCTCACTGGCATTTGGTGGGATGGGACCACAGTGCCCTGATGAGAGAGACCAGGTTGGCAGCCTGGGCATTGATCTGTATCCTCTAGGAGGAGGGAAGCCCAGGGAGATCTCTGCATCGCCCGGTGCTTGCTCCGACCAAGAGAGGGTGTACTTGGTCCTTATTCACCCTCTCTCTAACCTTTGGGATTCCCCTTTTCTCCTGTGTTCAGGCCCAGCCTTTCACTTAAAAAGATCAGAAGAGGCTTTAAAACATCTGCCTCAGATAACTTTTCTCTTCAAGTGTGGAGATCCCCACATTTGGAGACGTGCAACTGTCTGCTGGATCCTTCCCCAGCAGACGTGAGAGCATCCCCCCTCCTCCCCCTCCCCCAGGGGCCTCAAGCTCAGCCTGTCTGGGTCTGGCCTCAGCAGTGACCAGGCCCAAACCTGCTCCTCTTCCTCCCTGCCTCACCCTTTCTGGCTGCCACCCCAGCTGCCAAGCCAGGATCCAGGAGTCATCCCACAACTGTGTCTTTCTCATTTTCTGCATCTGTTTGGCATGAAGCCAAGTCATTTCTACTGCTTCTCTCAAATCTCTCCCCTCCCCTCACCCCCGCCGCCGTGTGCCCTTGTGGAGCCCCCACCGTCTTTCTTCTAGGCTTCCTCTCTTGCCTCTTAATGGTCTGTCCCTGGTGTGCCCTTCCCCGCACTGCCCTGGAGGGTGCTCTCCAAAATGCAGGTCTGACCCCTGTCAGTCCCCGGCTTGAAACCTGTGAGCGGTCTTTCCATACGAGGTTGTGTGAGACAGGATCTGCTCCCCAACCCCACTTCCTTTTACAGACACTTCCCACCTTACTCTGGTGCTTCACCTGAGCTGAAATCACTTTCAGTTCCCTAGAGGTGCTGGACTGTTGTGGGCCTCCATCTGCAGGTGTGTGCTCTTCCTTCCATCTGGGCTGTCCTCTCTGCCTTAGCGAGCTCTTATTCATCCTCCAAAACCCAGCACGGGCATCTCCTCAGTGAAGTCTTCTCTCATTATCCCAAGGGTTTCTTGATAACATATCCTACCTTGAATCCCACGCCCACCCTATTATATCCTTATTATTAATCCGTGTCACAGTTTTCTTATTTTGCAGTTATTTTAGGTCTTTCTTTCTTTCGAGACACTAAGCTCCTTGAGGTTAGGGAATGGGAAAAAGAACTACTATTTATGACTTCCTCTGGGTCAGGTGCTTGAGCTAGTATGTTATCTCCTTCAGAGTCTGTATCTCTGCTCCCGGGATGCCTTAGCATCTTTGGGGGAAAGGGAGAAAAGGAAGAAAGGAAGAGAAGGGAAGGGAAGGAGTTTATTCTCATGGGTTAAAGCTTTGTTTCCAAAGTTCCCTATGAAAACAGGCTCAGTTGTGTGGAAGAGCGGAAGGAGAACTGGGCGAGGGCTCCGAGACCAGGCTTACAGGCTGAGGTCCTGGTTGGCCAACAGCAACTCATCATTCAACTGTGGACCAGTCCCACTGTGTCCCTGGCCTTGTGTTCCCCACCTGTAAAATGAGGTGTTTTGTTTTGTTTTTTTAAAAAAGCATCTTTATTATAAGGAAAATACACAGCAAAACAGAGCTGGAAAGTGGTGTGGGTAGAAGACCTAGAAAAACTTAATCACAAAACAAGCTGCTCAGTTACCAAACAAGCTGTTTAAACACAGCTTCCTGCTGTGAGGGAGCGTGATTTAGCCCTTATCTTTCCCACCTTGCCTGATTCAAAAAAATCTGCTCTTAGGGCTGGGCCCTGGGAGCCCCATTTTCCAATCTGTATTCTTCCTGGAGTTTGGGAAAGGTGATATAGTTCTCAGGCTTTCAAGATACAGAAGACAATACGGAGAAGGAAAGGATGTTCTAAACCTTTGGTCCAGTGTTATCCCCAGCCCTGTCCCTCAGTATTTGTTGATGCCAAAGAGACGAACCCCATGGAATTGGGGTAACTTAGGCAGCAGTACGCTAAGCAATGAGGCTGTGTTGCTGAGGAAGTGAGCAGCATCATACTTGGTGTAGAAGCTGGCCAGGAGGTAGAGTACAATAGGAAAGACGCTGAGGAATTTGCAGGAAGAGGTAAATTGGAGCCCGAGTCCATCCATTCCCAGTGTGTCAGTGGCCGAGCCTTTCCTTGGTCCAGGATCTCAAAGGGTGTCCCTTTCACCATATGTAAGAAGACATACGTAGCCAAGTTATGGATGACATTGGTCAGGGTCCAGACAACAGGTCTGCTGAGGAAGGGGATGCTGAGTAGAACCTCATGCAGCAGTCCTACCAAGCTGATGTAGGCCGGCCAGATGCCCCGGCTATTCATCACTCTAGTGTTGGGGTTTACTTCGCTGTGTGCCACCCCCACATTCATCCTGCAGGCTTCACAAGCCGGTCCGACTCCGAGGTGTTTTGTTTTTTAAGACATTTTATAATCCTGTCTGTTGGAGTGAGACACTGAAGATGGAGATGCATCTCAGGAGACCAGCATTTCCCAGGTCGTGTTCTGTGGAACACTGGTGTCTTGAGGTGCTAACAGCCAATAAAATTAGTGTTTCTCAGAACCCTGTTTAAGAAATGTTGCCTTAGACCATCACCAGCCATGACCATTGTAGTGGGACTTGCTTCCTAAAATTCATTAGGTTCCACCTAAGGGAATGGGTCCTGGGTAAGTGTTGATGGTGCGAAGAGGTGGGAGACAGGAGGAGGGTGAGGGAGAGGCCCAGAGCGTGCTGAGTGGACTTTGGGTAGTGGAAGGATCAGTGCAGATGGTAGACCCTGGGAGAATGAGGGAGCGAGACAAAGTGTGGCATTTCCGGCTTCCCATCAGCCCCTCCGAGTGCTCCCGACCTTGGTGCTCTCACTCATCGTCGTGCTTTCCATCTTCTGATATATCCTGCATTATTTGTTGATTGTGTGTGTTTATTGCCTGTTCCTCCCTCACTGGCATGTGAGCCCTACAGAGGAAAGGGGTCTTCTTCTTAGGATGTATCTCAAGCCCCTAAAACACAGCCTGGCACATAGCAGGTCGTCCTAAGCCTTTGTCATTGAGTTGGGGATAGAAAAGAGATCATCCATGTCCTTCATGGCCTTTTTTTCACATCGGATCTTCTGTAGACCCAGGATGATCCTTAACCTTGGAGGTGGGGGTAGGCAGGGTAGTGACTGAGAGCCTCACTCCTTAGCCTGAGGGCCTTTATTGGGTTCTCAGTCCAACTGGGGCTACTGTGTATGACCTCAGGCAGGTTACTTAAGTGCTCTTTGTCCCACCATCTACCTCCGCATTTATGTTAGTGATTTGTAAGGATTAAATGAGCTAAATATATGTAAAAGTCTGAAAAAAAAAGCACCCAGGAGGTAGTAAGTGCTGTGTTTTCCAGCTTAACTTACATCATAGCTATTTAATTGAGCGCTGTGTCGGAGCTGCTATTGCTTCTGGATTTTCCCCTAAATATGAGTTACAACCTTTTCTTTCTCCTTCGCCAAAGTAGCAGAAAAATGAAATAGTTTGTGGTTGTTTTCAAATGCACACAACTATCAGTTAGTTACGGGGTTGGCCGCAGTCTGAGAAAGGCCTGGACTGTATTGAGGCAGACAAAAGAAAGAAAAGAGGCAGACTACTTGGAAACGATGCCCAATGACTTTTTCTCTTTGTCTTCGAGAGAGTCCTTTAAAATGTCACATGGCCAGGGCGCCTGGGTGGCTCAGTCGGGTCAAGCGTCATACTCTGGGTTGCGGCTCTGGTCATGACCTCAGGCCCCAAGCTGAGTGCAGAGTCTGCTTGTCTCTCTCCCTCTCCCTCTGTTCCTCCCCCTGCTCTCACCACACACACTCTCTCTCAATAAATAAAACCTTTAAAAATAAGATAAAACAAGATGTCACATGGCCAATATAGAGTCTGATTTAATAGTCTGAGAAAACTCAGTTGCTGTGTTTTACGTTGACCATGAAAGATGGAAGATGCTTATTTCAAGTCTGAGCTGCTATGACTTCCCTATTCTGAGTGGATTTAATACTGGTTTTCAGTGGGCTCCCATGACCTCAGTTGGTTTTTTCCCCACCCTCATATTATGTCTTGGACAGACTAGAGGTAGGAGATGTATTTCCGTTTTATATCTGGGACCTGAAACGTTAATGGCGGCCGATGCCCTACCGCGTGTCATTTTCTTACAGAGGTGCAGTTCTGCTGGGCCTGGCAAGTGGACTGATGCTCTCAACGTGCCCATGGTTTCCCGGTTCCGGTTTAATCTGGTGGGTTACAGGTACGTGGAACCTGCCTGGAGATGCACCTGGCATTCCGCTCTGCTTGACAATTTACTCACGTGCGTGCCCAGAGAGGAAGTGGAGGCCAAGACGGCCATACTGGTCTGTCACCATGGGTTCCAGGGCCTGCAGGCTCCAGGTTCCTGTGTCCCCCTGCTTCACTGCCTCTCTCCCCCTGGAGTTACGTACTGCTACCTCGTCTCCCGAACGAGGCATGTGTGTCAGTAACAGTTTTCCCCCGGGTCTGAAGAGGTGGAGGACAGCCATCACCACGTTGCTGGACCTCTCCTCCTCCCCCAGATTCTGTGCTTCCCTGGTTCTCAGGGACGTCCTCCTTGGCTCCTCACACCCTGACCCAGCTTTGGGATCCACGTTTGCTTCTTCAAAGGTTGGGACCCTCTCCTCCCAGGCACACCCGTCAGGATTACACAGTATTGAGGGAGGCCACCTTTGTTTTAGGAGCAACTACTTATTTTTATGGCCATGACTGTTTTATTACTCTGACTGAATTATGCCCCTCTTCTCCCTTCTCCTTAAAAGGCAGAAATGATCAGAGTCGGTTTTAGTGTCAAAGACAAAACTCCCCACTCTGCGAAACCGTGTGTTGGGTTTCTGGGAGGAGAGATGCCCTTATATGTATTCATTAGCCAGGTGATTCAGAGCGTTGCCCTGGATGCCCTGTGTGGGTTCGAGCCTGGGTAGTGGACCATGTGGGCCGACTAGCGTGATAAGTAAACTTCCTTGCACCCCGGGTACCATCACTCTTGCGTGGAGACATACGTGTAACCCAAACAGATGGTTCAATTACCGAGCTGAGCCAGGAGCCACGTGAGCAAACCTCTGCAGTCACGTTGAGCTGTTTTTGCTGGCATGTGTATTTTCTGGTAGGCCTTCTAGTTGGAGTTTTTGGAAGTTTGTATGAGTTTGAATATAGAGGTAACCCTTCTTCTCGTCCGAGAGATGCCTCATGAGATTCCTCAAGACAAGGGCCAGGGGCTTTAGTCAATGCCAGATTGGCAGCGAGCCTAACAGCTTCTCAATCTGTACGCAGTTGTGGGAAGGGACGTGAAGTACATTGGAAGTCGGTTCAGCATGTGTATCACACCTTTTCTCATGGAACATAAGCAATGTGCTTCCTTGGGCAGGTATTTGGCAGCTTCGCTTTAAACATAGGAAAACTGAGGTCCCCAGAAACATAAGTTGTTAAGGGACAGAAAAACTGGGAACCTAGAGTGTTATACTGATACTTCTTTCCCTGGGTAAGTAGAGTCACAACTAATCTAATTTTGCTGTCTGAAGTATTATTATTATTATTATTTTTTTTAAAGATCTTATTCATTCATTCATGAGAGACAGAGAGAGAGAGAGAGACAGAGAGAGGGGCAGAGACCCAGGGAGAGGGAGAAGCAATCTCCATGCAGGGACTTGATCCCAGGTCTCCAGGATCACGCTCTGGGCTGAAGGTGGCGCTAAACCGCTGAGCCACCCAGGCTGCCCTCTCTGAAGTATTAGATAATAGTTTTGTTTTTGTTTTTGCTTTTTTTTTTTTTTAAGATAGTAGTTTTAAAAGGCCCCAGGGGCAAGTTCTTGGCAGTAGAGAGGAAAGTGAGACCACAGTTCTTCAGCCTCAGCTCCGTCTCTGCTCACCTGCTCACCTAAAATAAGTTGGAGCTCACACTTCGTTACCTAGAAATGGTGCCCCCATTTCACCGTGACCCATCCTTGGAAACCACCTCATAAAGCAGAGTGTAGAAAAATAAATCACATTTTTTTCATTGTAGTTAAAATTTGCAATCCCAGTGGGTCTCAGCACAAAATAAGTCATGACAATGACCGATAGGATTTTACTTTACAAATGCAAAGATACAGGAGCTTTAAATCTTGGTGGCAATTATTAAAATCAAGTAATTCTTAAAGGAAAAAACAGGTGGACCAAATGCACTGATCGGACCCCAGCGTACGTACAGTGATCCTATGATTTTATGGTTGGAAAAATGTGATCTGTTGAAAACTAGCATGTTAGTTATTATCAATATTATTGGAATATGCAGTCTGGTGTCTTAGGAGTAAAGATTTGGAGGAGGTTACTTGAAAGGACTCAGTCTTACACACAAAACAGCTAAGATACGCAGTTAAGTGAAAAAGGCAAAGTGACAGGACACTGTGTGTCATATGCCACCATTTGTATGAAAAAGGGACGGAAATGCACACACAGGCAAATATTTTTTTCTATGCACGAGACCTTCTCTGGAAGAGTGTGGAAGACAGTGCTAACATTGCCTTCCCCAAGGGGCACTAGTGGGTGATGGGTCAGACGGACTCCTTTTTACCTTTTTGAGTCTTGGATTTTGAATTTAAAAATATATAGCCCATTTAAAAATAGAAATTAAAAATAAAAGCAGTAACAGTCAAGGGCATTTGAAAAGATGTTTTCTTTCCTTCCAGATAATTCTGCATAGTAAAGACAAAAGCAACAAAGTCATTCTGTAGAACCTCAATTCAGGACTCATTCTTTTTTTTTTTTTTTTTTTTTTTTTAAAGCCTTTGTAGGCTGGTAAACAGGAAAAATTCACTCACGCTGATAATCAGGAAAGTAAAACTCAAAATGTGATACCGTTTTCATCATTAACTTGGTAAAGATTTTTAGAAAAATAATTTTGGCAAGGTTCAAAAGGTGAGACTTTTGGCAAGGTTTCTGGAGGAAATGAAGATTGGTATGACCTCTCACAAAAGCAGTTGACCATTAAGTAATGACTCTTTAAAATGCTTTTATCTCTTGAAATGGTACTTGTACTTTTAAGACTCTTTTTAAAGGATTATTTTAAGGAAATGATCAAAGATGTAGTAAGAGATTAGTTGACAAAGAAAGATGTTCCTCATAGTGTTGGAAGCTTCATAAATGGCCAATAGTAGGAAAATGGTGGCTTATCTTGTGGTGTACTTATCTATAATGTAGTATATATACATAAAAATGACTTAGGAAAAAAATATAATGAGAAAATGTTCTTGATATAAAAAGAAAAATATGATCCCCAATATGTGATATGATTCCGTTAGTGTAAAAATACTTTTCTATATCCATAGAACAAGACTAAAGGGAAAAATCCATATGAGTATTGGCCGTGATTGGCTCCATCTTAGGTGATCCTTAACTGCTTTACAGTTGTGTATTTTTAAAAAATTTCTGCAGCAAAATAGTCATTACCCTCATTGATTTCAAAAGGAAATGATTTTTTCATTGTTAAAATAACCATTGAGGGATCTAAGTATTATAGGGTCTGACTGTTGAGTTACACTCTGGTTGTCGAGGGTTCTGGAATCTGGTTCTTGTGTTCACCTGCATGATGTTCTATTTGAACTGGGGGCGGGGAGGGATAGACAGTCCCAGGGCTTTGCCCTGTGGTGGTACAAGTGGAGCTTGTTGACGGATGAGCACCAGGGAGCACTGGCTGGAGCCACGTCCTGCTCCCCCTAGTGTTCTGGAGCCCTTGCCCTATCAGTGAGGAGCCTGCTGGAGACCTCCTTGGAGGGTAGGTCACAATTATACAACATGCATTGAACTGTCTGTAAGATGTCACATTCTCCGGAAAGGTGTTACACTGATGGCTCGGAACTGGGGTGCTGTAGACCCCGATGTGCTGTCTCAGAACTGATTTCACAGGAATTGGGAGAAATGTTACGCTCTCGGGTTTGGCTGAGCAAACAAGCAGACACTTACTAGTGCGTGCTGTGAACCGGGCCCACCAGGCTGTGGGGTCATGAGTGAACAGCCTGCAGAATGGCTAAAGCAGTAAGTCCACCCATGCTGTCTCAGTCCCATCTTCTTTTGGGGATGTGTGCTTGGGAAAGCCCACTTACCTATTGTAGGCCAAGGGGCGGCGTTTAGGACATTATTTAATGAAAGACCTTTCTAGAAACCACACTGACTTGACACATTTCCTAACGCCTGGATCTGGCTGGTCAAACTAAACAGACATATATTTTTTGGTATTACAGATCATTGCAGGTTTTTTCAGGTTGGTTGGTTTTTTTTTTTTTTTTTTTTTTTTGCTATTAGGATCTTAACATAAATAACCTAAAAATGCCTTTGTCTCTCTCCCTGCCCTTCCTGAAGAAATAGCTCTGGGCTGAGATTTACTAGGCTCACCTTCTGCCTCCAGTTGTGCATGTAACTAGCTGCGTGACCTTGAGCAAATCACATTAACCACGCTGGACCTCAGTTTCTCATCAGTCTGGAGATTGGACTAGCCCTCGAGGTCCCTTCTGGCTCTGAACAGCTATAAATTGGTCATCTTATGAGCTTATTATTTCTTTTATTGTAGAAAATGGAAGAGACCATTCTACTCTTTTTCTTTCTCTCTCTGTCATGAACAGGAGCAGCTTCAGCCGCAGGCCTCCTGTACCTGCCCACGTGGGCAGCTGCTGTTTCTGGCTGTGTCCTCGCCCTCTTCACAGCATCCATGTGGCCTCAAGTGCTTGCACATCTTATTAGCTCAGGGTCAGGCCCTGGGAAAGCCATGACCATTGCCATGATATTTTATCTTTTAGAGATATTTTTCTGTGCATGGTGCACGGCTTTTAAATTTGTCCCAGGAGGTGTCTATGCTAGAGAGAGATCTGATGTGCTTTTGGGTGAGTATATTTGAAAGGTATGGATTAAAGTAACTGCTTGAAAATACCCTTCAGGCTGACTAGGATTTAGCACTTTACATGACTGGTGGAGATAAATAGGATGATCTTCCCTGTTTTATTAAAATAGACTGTCTTGGGACACCTGGGTCACTCTATGGGTTAAGCATCTGCCTTCAGCTCAGGTCATGATCCTGGAGTCCCAGGATCTAGCCCCAAATTGGGGTCCTTGCTCCACAGGGAGTCTGCTTCTCCCTCTGCCCTTCACCTCTCTTGTGCTCTCTCAAATAAATAAATAAAATCTTTTTAAAAAATAGACTCTCTTGATAAAAAAAAAAACTGGAGGAATGTCTAAATGACTACTTAAAAGATTTCTTAATTCATCAGTGAGTTTCATTAATATTTATTACTGCAAAGGCCTCTTAAGTAAATTAATTACAGGGAAAAAAACCCCAAGTTTAATTCATAGTAGAGTATAAAGAAGTGCTGGGTACTGTTGTGTTACAGTATATGTTAGGAAAAGGCATGATCGTGGTGCTCATGTTACCACTTTAGTATTGGCTCATGAATATATAAGGGAAATTGTGATTTTTCTTTTTGGTTTCCCCAAATCTTATCTATGATTTTTATTTACCGTATGTTTGCCAATAAAATAATTTTACATCTCTGAATCTTAGTCTAAATGGTAAATTCCCAAATCATAGAATATTTTTTTCTGATTTCTGTGATTATAAACTATCTAGCAAAATGAAAATTTCATACACTTTATTTAGCTCAGTTTAATATTTCAAAAATTGCCTTCTGGCCATGATGAAATTACCGACGTATACAGGCATACGCAAATCAGATGTTGCCTGTCATTTTAGTTTAAGCAAAACATATCAAACGCTGGTAGGATAAAAATTATGAAAAATTGAGGAGACAAAACATGTCAGTAGGGGATTCGGTCCTTGTTTGTTCAGAGATGCATTTTCCCATTTGTTCATGTATTCATTAAAAAAATGTTGGGCACCTGTATGTGCCAGGCACCGTGCCAGGTGCTAGAGATTTAAGAGACATAGTCCGTGCCCATCTGGAGCTTCTGTGTAGTGAAGGTACCAGCATGCGGAACGTTAGATACGTACGGAATTACAGCTGGGGTGAGTTGTGCACAGGAGTCTGGGCTTCCACCTGTAGTTCCCCCTTGGGCCTTTGGTATTTTTTTCAACAACTGTACCTTTTCACATAAACTTTTCTACTCCCCGAGCTAGACATCTGGCAGCAAATGCTGATTTGGAAGCTATATTTTTTAAATTATATGAAATATGTAAAAAAAAATGAAGATTTACTATTTTTGGTAAACTCTCGTGCTCTCATCCACGTGGAGACATATATTGCTGCATTTCCTTTTTTAATTTTATTTTATTATTTATTTATTTATTTTATTATTTGTTTATTTTTTGCATTTCCTTTTTTACATCTTTTAGATGTATTTATTTGACACAGAGAGAAAGCACAAGCAGGGGCAGGGGCAGAGGGAGAGAGAGAAGCAGACTCTCTGTGGAGCCGGGAGCCCGACTGGGGCTGGATCCCAGGACCCCGGGATCATGACCTGAGCAGAAGGCAGACAGACGCTCAACCGACTGAGCCACCCAGGCGTCCTGTTGCTGCATTTCCTCTGCAATAATCTTGGCTTTGCAAACTTTGTATTTCTTCTGGTTTCTTTCAGGTGTGTGTACTCTGCCCTGCTCTATCTTCTTGGCCAATGCCCTGCTTTTTTCTTACCCCAGCTTGCTTAGCGGTCTGCCATGTGGAGAAAGCACACAACAGTAAGAGCCATTCTAAGCATGAGTTTATTTCTTCAGAATGTCATGAATGGTGTGTTTTGAGTTCTCTCTCACTACTCATGGGGCTGCTGAAACCACTTGGTTACAGTTGCATACAAGAAAGCATTTTTTTTTTTTTTTTTTTAGTAAGAGGGACCACTGATAAGACCACAAAAATGAAGGCACGTTGGTAATGTTCAGCATAGCTTTTGATACAGTTGAAGAGAATCTGTGTTAAATCAGAAACTAGTAATGAATCTATTGTCAAGTTTACTCCTGCTATTTCCTGAAAATTGCATAGGATTTTTTTTTTTTTTTGGTAGCCTTCCACCTAAGCTTAACTTCTACTTAATATCTCCCAATTTACACATCGGTCAGCTATACCTCTGTTTCCATTCTCATTGTATAGGACTTGAGAAGTATGTAAATCTTACATATAAGTTCCCTTGTAATGCATCGAACAGAGCTCAACTTCTCTGGCCGGCCTTATTGGCACAGTGTGAGTCCTGGCATGAGTCCTCCATGAGGACCCCCATCCCGGGCCAGAATTGCTGCCCCTAACATGGTTGGATTATGAATCTACATATATCCTCCTTTTATGCTCCACAGTCTGGTGCATCTGAGGTCTTTTTTGGTGCAGAAAACTCAGTCCCTACAGCAAGCAATTCCTTTCTTTCTTTTGTGCTCCACCCTCCTCTGCACAATCAACAGCAAAGTAGTCTATTACCAACCTAACAATGAGGAAACACTCAGGAAATTAAAAGACATTTCTCATCCAGGAAAGGCTGGAGTCTTGTCATTTAAAGTAGGGTTCCTAGGACCCTAGCGGATTTCTAAGGATCAATCCCAATTATCAGAAGCGCAACTAGAGTAATTGCTTAGGTACTGAGATAAATGAACTCAGTAACTGAATTTTCAGGGTATGGCCATTGACATGAAATTTAGGCTCCTGGAATTTACCATTGGGAGGATTTGTGGATTAAAATGTAATATGTTCTTGTTTTCTCTTTTAACAGGGGCAGTGATGCTAATTATTGGACTGAATATGCTCTTTAGTCCTAAGAAAAGCCTTGACTTTCTTCAAACAAAAAATAGTCCTAAAGTGCTTTTCAGAAAGAGTGAAAAATACATGAAACTTTGTAAGTTTTGCTTTCTTTTTTTTAAAGCACCTAATTATCATAAAATTTCGAACATATATGAAATTAAAAAGTATAATGAGACCCTCGCGTACCCTTCACTCAGTTCCAACAATTTTTAACATTTTTGCCGGTGTTGTTAACAACTGTCTTCCTTACTCATTTTGGTGAAATACTTTGAAGCAAATCTCTGACAGCCTGTCATTTCGGCCACAACTTCTCGATTAATAGTCTTGTTTCACTTCTCATGTAAAAAAGATTATTAAAAGGAAGAGTTTCCAAAATCATTTGTTCTTATTAGAACTATTTATATTTCAGATTATTTATTTCTTGTTCTTCTTTTTGGGGAGCTTAAATACATTAACATTTGGGATATTGATGAGCTAGAAACTCAGACATGAAGTTAGTTTACTATTCAATCTGATTAATTTCAAATGAACTAGATTAAATAAAAATGTTTATTGAAATGATAACATTCGCAGGTAGTGTATTAGGTTCAGTGCACAGCATGATATAACTACACAGCATTATGTAGGAAACAAAGATAGCCCCCACCCTCAGTAACTTGATATTTTCATAAAGGAGATAAAATATTTGGGGCACCTGGGTGGCTCAGTGTTTGAGCATCTAGATGCCTTCGGCTCAGGTTGTGATCCCGGGGTCCTGGGATCGAGTTCCGCATCTGTCTCCCTGCAGGGAACCTGCTTCTCCCTCTGCCTGTGTCTCTGCCTCTCTCTCTCTGAGTCTCTCATGGGTAAATAAATTTTTTAAAAAATCCTAAAATTTCTTTTTAAAAAGAAGATAAAATACTATAGTATAAAGAGATAGAAAACAATTAAACTAAATAAAATTGTGATCTTTTTCTAAAAGAGATGCCACAAAGCAGTAAGACCATTATGTAAACACCTTCACATATGTTCCATCATAACTTGAAAAGATTATATTGCAATTTAGGGGACATTTTTAAAATGTAGAGTTTTTTTTTCTGTGTTCTTATTTTTTTTAGGTGTGTCTCTTGAAACTAAGACCTGGTAGATTTTGTTTGTTGTTTTTTGATCCTGACAATCTCTGTCTTTATAGTTGCTGTTGTGATTTGTAGCGGTCGTAGAATTAAAGTAGAGTTAGTAACTAGATTAGTAGAATTAAGCACTAAGATTCTTTAGTTCATTCATCAGATCGAGGCATTGGGAACCATTTATTTACAAAGTTGTTTAGACAGTTCTGTGGAATTTTTTATAACAATTTTTTAGAGCCATTTTTGGTTTGAGCAGAAAATAGAGATTCCCTATATACCCTCTGACCCCACATACACACAGACTCCCTCAATATCAGTACCCCCCACCCGAGTTTATGATCACATTTATTATTAATATTAGTTTTTGAAGATTTCTTTCCTTATTTAGAGCATGAGTGGGAGGGGCAGAGGGAGAGAGGGGGAGAGAGGGAATCTCAAGCAGACTCCATACCCAGGGTGGAGCTCGACACAGGGCTCGATCTCACAACCCTGAGATCATGACGACCTGAGCTGAAACCAAGAGTCGGACGCTTAACCGGCTGTGCCACTCAGGAGCCCCTATCATTACATTTGTTATGACTGAGGAATGTACGCTGACACATCCTTAGCACCCGAAGTCCACGGTTTACGTTAGGGGTCGCCCTTGGTGCTGGGCGTGCTGTGGGTTCTGTATGTACGTGATGCTCTGTATCCATCATTAGAGTGTCACACGGAGTAATCCTCTGTCTTCCACCTCTTCACCCTTCCCTGCCTCCACCAATGACAGCCACTGTCTTTGTCATTTAGAAAAATGAGATTTTGGTTTTTAGAGCAGTTTTAGATTTACAGACCTGTTGAGCCCCAAGTATGGCCTTCCTATTCGCCTACCCCCTTGTACCCCACTTGCTCCTCCACAGGGACAGTGAAGCTGCCCACAGTTTCCACCACTATTGACATCGTGCATTACTGTGGTACGTTCGTTAAAACCGATGAGCCCATGTTGGGACATTATTATTATTAAGTCAAGTCTGTGGTTTACATCACAGTTCAATCTTTTTGTGGTATGTCCTGTGGGTTCTGACAAATGTGTAATGACAGCCATCCACCATTATGGTATCACAAAGAATCGTTGTGCTTCTTAAGCATCCTCTCTGCTCCACCTATTTATCCTTCCGTCCTCCCTCTAAACCCTGGCAACCAGGGACGCCTGGGGGGCTCAGTGGTTGAGCATCTGCCTTTGGCTCAGGGTGTGATCCCAGGGTCCTGGATCGAGTCCCGCATCGGGATCCCTGCAGGGAGCTTGCTTCTCCCTCTGCCTGGGTCTCTGTCTCTCATGAAAAATAAATAAAATCTTAAAAAAAAAACAAAACCAACAACCCTGGGAACCATTGATCTTTTCACAGTCTCCATCATTTTGCCTGTTCTAGACTGTCCATCTTGTCTTTCATCTTGAAAATATAATCTAGTTTTGTTGTGATTTCTCATGCATTATTATCTCTTTCTGTCATCTTACTTTACTTTTGCTTTTTCAACTTTTCTGAGCTATATTTATCCCTCTTTTTCTTCTTGTTTGCTTTTGCATTGATTGGGTTATCTTTTTCTTTTTTTTCCTCATCCCCTCCTTTCTGTTCTGCTCTCTAGTTTGGAAATTATACCTTCAATTTCGATTCTCTTAGTAATTGGGTTTTGTTTTGTTTTCCTTCTCTCAGCACATTAAAGCTGGCATTCTGTTATCTGACTTCTGTTCTTGCTGAAAAAGAAGCAACTTTACAGTTGCAAAGTTAGCTGTCAGTGTAATAATCCTGCTCCGTTGGAGATCATCTGCCTTTTTTTCTCTGGCACCTCTTACAATTTCTCTTTGTTTTGGTGTCCTGGAGTTTCAGTGTGATATATACAGATATGATTCCCCCCTCTCCCTCATTGTCCCCCCTGCTTGCTTGTTGGTGTTTGGACATTCTGAATCTGAAGTGTCATGTCTTTTTTCACTTCTGGAAAATTCTCAGTTTTATTTCTGCAAATATTGTCTCTTTTCCATTCTTTCTCTTCTTCCTTTCTGACTCCACTTAGATTGTGTTGGATCTTCCTATTATCATCTCCATGTCCCTTAACCTCTTTCATAGTATCTACCTTCGATTTTAAACTGTCCTTTGCACTAATTCTCCATTTGGCTTTGTCTACTGCTACCTGTCTTGCCCACTGAGTTTCTAATTTCAATTATCATATAATTTTATTTCTAGAAGTCTATTTTATTTCTTCACAGATTTTCCCGATCATCAATCTCCTATTCCTTAGTCACCCTGTTGAATACCCTCCTTTATTTTTTGACCCATGGTTAATAAGCATGCTTTTTTTGTATTCTGATTCTAAAAGTTCCAATATTTGAAGTATTTGTGAGTTTGACTTTACAGGCTTTTCTTTCTTGCTGGTTTCTGCTCATGGAGAGTATTTTCTTGTGTATTATTTCTTGTATATATTTATGATTTATTTTTACTTTAAGCTCATGGTCCTTGGAACATTTTCAGAGAAGATTCCTTGAAACCTGAGTTGCAAGGATCAGTTATGCATACATGTCACACATGAAAATTAACCCAGGAATTAGACGTTTCTCCTTTGCACAAAATCTTGGCTAATAGATTTAATAATTTCATAAAATTATTTTTTTATTCGAGTGTAATTAACATATAGTGTTATATTAGTTTCAGGTGCACAATATGATGATTCAACAAATCTATCCATTACACAGTGCTCAACACAAGAGTGTTCTTTTTTTTTAAAGATTTTATTTATTTATTTATTTATTTATTTATTTATTTATTTATTTATTTGACAGAGAGAGAGAGCACAAGCAGGGGGAGTGGCAGGCAGAGGGAGAGGGAGCCTGATGTGAGGCTTGATCTCAGTGCCCTGAGATCATGACCTGAGCCAAAGGCAGATACTTCACCCACTGAGCCACCGAGGCACCCCAACACAAGAGTATTCTTAATCCCCATCACCTATATTACCCATCCCCCGACCCACCTCCTCTCTGGTAACCATCAGTTTTTCTCTATAGTTAAGAGTTAGTTTTTCAATCTCTTTTTTCTTTGTTCGTTTGTTAAATTCTAGCTATGAGTGAAATCCTGTGGTATTTGTCTTTCTCTGACTTATTTCACTTAGCATAATACCCTCTATATCCATCCATGTTGTTGCAAATGACAAGACTTCATTCTTTTTTATGGCTGAGTAATATTCCATTGTGTACACACACCCCACATCTTCAGTATCCATTCATTTACACAAGCTGGTGTAGCCACTATGGAAAATAGTATGGAGGTTCTTCAAAAAATTAAAAATAGAACTACCACGTGATCTGGTAACTTCTCTTCTGGATGTTTACCCAAAGAAAATGAGAACATGAATGTGAAAAGATCTATGCACCACTATGCTTATTGCAGTGTTATTTACCAAAACCTGCCCCCCCATTTTTGAAAAGCCAGTTTCTTTTAAATAATTATTTCTTCTTTCTGTTTAGTTTTGTGGCTGCTTGTTGGTGTGGGACTATTAGGATTAGGACTACGACATAAAGCCTATGAGAATAAATTGGGCAAAGGGGTAAGTAATGAAAAACTTTGATACAGAATTTTATATGGTATGTATGCATATGCACATATTTATACACTTTATCATTATGCTTGCACTGTAGATCTGCATGTCATGACTTCAGGGCCCTGTAAACCATTTCTTAAACCCCTAGGTCATAGGCTGATAACAGAATTATTTCATGAAGTTGGGTTCTTGAGACAGGATAAATCCATTTGTTAAAGGCAAGCTGCTCATAATTTTGTTGTATGAAGTTATATATTCCATTCCATGATTTAATATATCTAAACTATGAAATAAAGAACTTTTTATAATGTTTTTTTTGTACTGTTTGGCAGATATTGCTGAAGGCAACAATATGAGCATCTGATTTAAAAATAATCTTGTAGATAATTCTTGAATTTGAAGATTATGGGTAGCTTGTGTACTGATGGGTCATGGAGGTTTTCCCGTCTCCCTCGTCCCTCTTGTTGTCTATAGTTTTAAATGTTTTATTGTTCCTTTCTCTTCTAGATAGGCAGGCAGAAGAAAGAGTAAGTTGCCGTGTTGTGTTTTTTCTCTGCTCTGGTGAAGTTTGATGTGCTCCATAATGCAGTTAGAGTTACAGTTTTGGCTAAAGCAGAATTTGATGGTTAACTTTGAATTTTAGTGTTCTGTATTACTAGGCAGATCTTTTCATATAAATAAAAAGCTATACTGAGTATGGAGACCATGCTTCTCTTACCTTCATAACTCCAGCATCTCACAAAGTGATATTCAGAACTCCGTAGCTGTTTCTTTTGTTTGTTTGCTTGTTTGTTTGTTTGGTGACTCTTTCTTAATAAGTAAATAATTCATTACATGGTCTCTTTCTTTTGTCCTTTAATTGTTAGTTGTTATTATTGCAACATAATGCCAGTCAGGAAAAGATACCTAATGTCAGCCAGGAACTCTTTACAAAAGGAGACATTTCAGTTGGATTTAATACCTGTTCTTCTTATTCATTTGTTCATTCATTTGCTAAACACTTGCTGAGTATCTCTGTGTGCCTGGTCCCAGGGGTACAGAAGTAAGCAAGTTGGACTGATGCCCTGATGGAGTTTACATTGTGGTAGGGGAGAAAGATGGTATTCAGAGGAACAAATAAAGATGATCACTTTAGATCAGGCTTCTCAGAAGCAGATAGGATTATGGAGTAGAGAGTAATGATGGGGTCTGGGTGGTTAGAGAAGGTTGCTCTGTGGATGTGATGATACTTGAGTCAAGACTTGAAAGCTAACATGAAGCCAATTATTCACAGAGGTAGGGGTGAGGGATTCAGGCAGAGGGCATGCTTGTACAGGGCTGAGGGGAAATAAGTATGGTGTGTGTGAGGCCCACCAGCGTGGTCGGTGTGACTGAAACTTGGTGAGTAAGGGGAAGAGTGGTAGACGGTGAGGATGGAGAGGCTGTCAGTGTCCATCGAAAGATGAATGGATAAAGAAGATGTGGTCTACGTATACAATGGAATATTCCTCAGCCATTAGTAACGACAAATACCCACCATTTGCTTCGATGTGGATGGAACTGGAGGATGTTATGCTGAGTGAAATAAGTCAACCGGAGAAGGACAAACATTATATGGTCTCATTCATTTGGGGAATATAAAAAATAGTGAAAGGGAAGAAAGGGGAAAGGAGAAAAAATGAGTGGAAATATCAGAAAGAGAGACAGAACATGAGAGACTCCTAACTCTGGGAAATGAAGGGAGGTGGGGGGGGGTGACTGGGTGATGGACACTGAGGGGGGCACTTGACGGGATGAGCACTGGGTGTTATGCTATATGTTGGCAAATTGAACTCCAATAAAAATTTTTTTTTAATTTACTTATGATAGTCACAGAGAGAGAGAGAGAGGCAGAGACACAGGCAGAGGGAGAAGCAGGCTCCATGCACCGGGAGCCCGATGTGGGATTCGATCCCGGGTCTCCAGGATCGCGCCCCGGGCCAAAGACAGGCGCCAAACCGCTGTGCCACCCAGGGATCCCGCAATAAAAAAAATTTTTAAAAAATGGATGGAGAGGCTGGGGAGGGTCCTATCATAGAGGGCCTCACAGAGCACAGTGAGGCACCCTGATTTTATTTTTCTTCCAATGGAAGCCAATGGAGTATTTTGAGCAGGAGCATGAAGAAACATGACATCTATATCTATCTATTCATCTACCTATCGATGATATATATATATATATGTAGAGATATATAAATATAATATATATATATATATGTAGGAACAGGGAGTATGGAGAAGTAGGGAGATAAGTTATATATATAAAAACTTGGCTGCTCTGCGAAGAATGGATCGTAAAGTAGGAAGATAAGTTACAAGGCTTTTTCAGTTGTCCAGGAGAGAGACCACGGAAGTTTGGAGAGGTGCAGTGGGTAGTGGAGTTGGAGAGAAGTGGACAGACTTAGAATATATAGTTGACCCTTGAACAATGTGAAGTTGAACTGCGCCAATCCACTTACATGCAGACTTTTTTCAATACGTATGTTGGAAGATTTTCTGGAAATTCGCGACAAGTTGAAAAAACTTGCAGGCAAATCACATAGCCTAGAAATAGTGAAAAAACTCAGCAAAAGGTATGTTATGAATGCATAAAATATATGTAGATACTAGTCTATTCTGTCATTTGCTACCATAAAGTATACACAAATTTATCATAATTAGTTAAAATGTGTCAGAACTTGCACACACAAAAGCAGACCTTACATGGCAACATTTGTAGGGGAGAGAAATGTAAACAAACCTAAAGATGCAGATATTAAGTCATAACTGCATAAAACTAAACCGTAGTACATAATGTACTGCTGTAATAATTTTGTAGTCTCCTCCTGTTGCTGTGGCAGTGAGCTCAAGCGTTCTATCGGTTTAAGATCCTGTGTGATGCTAATCTCCTACTGAGCAGTTCCTCCCTCTAGTAAATTTTTTATTACAGTAAAAAGTGGTCTATTGGGGCACCTGGGTGGCTCAGGTTAAGTGTTCAAGTCTTGATTTCAGCTCAGGTCATGATCTCGGAATCATGGGATAGAGCCTTGTGTCAGGCTCAGCGAGGAGTCTGCTTGTCTGCCCCCCACCCCCCGCTTGCACGCTCTCTCTCAAATAAGTAAATAAGTAAAATCTTTTTGATAGTAAACAATACCTAGACCTTGCGTGACGCCATGGGACCCATACAAACTGCCACTAGTGATGCTAGAAGTACTCCCAAGAAGCAAAGTCATGACAAGAAGAAGTTGAATTGCCTGATACGCTATACACTGGGGTCTGCAGCTGCAGTCACTAGCATCTTGAGATAAATGAATCCAGTGTAAGGACCACTGTAAACCAAGAAAAGGGAATTTGTGACGCTGTCTCTGGAGCCACACCAGCAGGTGCGAAAAACCTGGCCCTTTGTGCAAAATGCCTTTTTATCTCATAGTGAAAATGTAGCTTTTGTGTGGGTGCAGGATTGCTCTAAGAAAGGCATAACCTCTAGGCTAATGTGACTTGAGAAGAAGCAAAATCATTATATAACAACTTAAAGCCAAAGGAAGGCGAAGGATCTAAAGCTAGAGAATTTAATTTTGGAAAAGTTTGGCATGGGGGACCCCTGGGTGGCTCAGTGGTTTAGCACCTGCTAAACCAGGTGTGATCCTGGAGTCCCGGGATCGAGTCCCACGTCAGGTTCCCTGCATGGAGCCTGCTTCTTCCTCTGCCTGTGTCTCTGCCTCTCTCTCTGTGTGTGTCTCTCATGAATAAACAAATAAAATCTTAAAAAAAAAAAAAAGCAAAGTTTGGCTTAAGAAATGTCAAGATAACAGGAGAAGTAGTGTCTGCCCACCAAGAGCCACCAAGAGTTCCCAGACACTCTTAAGGAAATCACTGAGGAGAAAAGACATCTGCCTTAACAGGTTTTTAGTGCAGGTGAAAGTGTCCTATTTTTTTTCGGGGCGGGGGGCAATGCCACAAAGGACATCTATTAGTATGGCACCAGGATTTAAGACTGGAAGAGATGCACTAACTCCACTGTTTTGTGCAAATCCAACTGCGCTTATGATGGGGACTTTTTATCTATAAAGCTGCTAACCCTAAGCCTTGAAGGGAAAGGATAAGCACCAGCTACCAGTCTTTTGATTGCACAACAAGGAGGCCTGGGCAATGAGAACCCTTTTTTCTGAAATGGTTCCACTGATACTTTGTCCCTGAAGTCAGAAAGTACCTTGCTGGTAAGGACGGCCCTTTATAGTTCTTTTGATAGGAGATGATACCCCCTGGCCACCCAGGACCCCATGAGTTCAACAACAAAGGCATCCAAGTGGTCTTCTTACCCCGACACACATCTCTGATTCAGCCTCTACATCAGGGATTATATGGCCCTTTAAGTCCCATTACACACAGCACTCTGTGAAAGGATTGTCAATGCTCTGGCGGAGAACCCCGACAGATATGACCTCATGAAAGTCTGGAAGGATTATATCACTGAAGATGCCATTGTTTAGCAAAAGCCGTGAAAGCCATCAAGCTCAAGACAATAAATTCCTGCTGGAGTAAACTGTGTCCAGATGTTGTACATGACTTCACAGGATTTATGACAGAGCTGATCAAGGGAATCATGAAAGGGATTGTGGATAATGGGAAAAAGGTGGAGGCTGAAGGGTTTCGAGGTGCAGATCTTGGAGGGATTTAAGAGCGAACAGACACCATGCCCGAGAAATGAAGAGAAGACAACCTGATGGAGACGAGTGTTTCTGCACCAGTGCCAGACATCGAGGAAGATCTAGAAGGAGCAACACCAGAAAACAAACTGACACTAGATAATCTGGAAGAAAGGGTCTAATTATTCAAGACTGCTTTTCCCTTCTTTTATGCCACGGACCCTTCTATGATGAAGGCACTGGTGGAAGCAAATGGTGGAAGAAGGATTAGTACCATCTAGAAACATTTTCAGAGACATGAAAAAGCAAGACAGACAAAAATCACAATGTTTTTCCAGAGAGTTATGCTAAATGGCTCTGCCTCTCATGCCTCCCCTTCCTTCTCCTTCACCGCTTCCACCTTCCCTGAGACAGCAAGATCACCCCTTCTTTTCCTCCTCCTCCTCGGCCTAGTTGACGTGAAGACAATGAGGATGAAGGCCTTTATGATGATCCACTTCCGCTTCATGGATTGCGAATAATCACCATGCCATACGCTAAATAAATTTATCTGTTGTGGATGCGTGTGTGTGTGTGTCTTTGCGTGAACGTCTAATACCTATTTGGCGAGAATTGTGTGAAACCTTTGGTGTCATCATCGGCACTGTCACCTGGGTATTCATCACATAGAACACGGTGTACAAGACTCATGTGGAAGGGGACAGCCTATCCTTATGTAGGCATAAGGTGAGTGTATCTTAATATAAAATTAATAACGTCTTCGTTTTCCTACTGTGAATTATAATACAGTACAGTAGGCCAGCCCCCACCCCCATAATTGGAAAACCCGTGTGTCAGTCTATTATTACAGGGAAATGTTTTTAAAAAATGTAATAGAGTTTGCAATACTGCCTTATAACTATGATGGTAATACTGGGTGCCATAAAATTTTTATAACAATTCATTCATTAGTGTATAGGCTCGGCTACCGTGAAGCAATCGTATCGATTACACTAGGTTACCATAAAACAAACTTATTGATATTGCTGCTGCTTCATTATCAATGCATGAATTGTCATAGCTGCAATAAATATGAAGTGCTTTTTCACATTATCTTTTCATTTTTGATGTCTACTGCTAGTAGTACCTTAACATCTACAGTGTTTTGTGACGTATAAAACAATGTCATTACTCGTCCTGACCCACAGTTCATCTTGTAAACAGATGATGTAAATTTATAGTATCAATAGCTCTAGTATAGCACTGTGAATGTGTTTTCTGTTCCTTATGATTTTTTTAGACTGTATTTATTTATTTGTCAGAGAGAGAGAGAGAGAGCGCAAAAGCAGGGGGAGAGGCAGGCAGAGGGAGAAGCAGACTCTCTGCTGAGCCGGGAGCCCAATGCAGGACTCGATCCCACAATATGGGATCGTGACGTGAGCCAAAAGTAGAGACTTAACCAACGGAGCCACCCAGGGATCCCTGTTGTGATGTTCTTATTGACATTTCTTTTGTCTAGGGTACTTTATTGTAAGAATACAGGACATAATACATATGTGTGTTAATTGCCTGTTGTGTTATTGGTAAGGCTTCCAGTCAACAGGAGGCTGTTAGTAGTTAAGGTTTCAGGGAATCAGAAGTTACACGTGGATTTTCAACTGTGCAGGGAGGCCCCTAACTCCCCTGTTGTTCCAGAGTCAATGGTATTCTGAAAGTAGAGCTGATAGGATCTGCTGATGGATTAGATGTTGCTGGATGCGGAGAAGGAAGGAATCAAAAATGACCTTTATACCTTTGACTTGAGCAACCGGATGGAAGGTGGTGGCATTTACGGACAAGGAAAGAACAGGAGAATAACAGGTTTTGAAGCGGAGAAATCCGGAGTTGACTATTGCTATAGAATTATGTGAAAAGGGATAGCTTGATGGATGTAGTCATGCCTCTTGAAATCCCTGTTGGTGGTTCCATTCCCTTTCTATGACAGTCACTAAACTGAATGACCTTTCCTGCGTAAGGATGGGAAGCCCAGCTTATTGGGCCGGGTAGCGCAGGGAGCTGTTTACGTGTGGTGGCCTTCTGTTGCAAAGAGGTTGCTACTTACCTTTCTCTCAACCTGAACTTGTATGGTCCACTTTGAGTTGTTTTTCCGGTTGTGAAGATGGATTTCTTCTAATCTAGCCAAACTCTTTCTCAGGATCCCTGTTATAGATCAGTTAGGTATGCATTTATTGAGATGGACATTTAGGGTTGGGCCCTGATTCTCTGACTGAGCCCATGGCCCCAAAAGATAAACTCTCAAAGGGGGCGGTGCCCTTGAGCATTGGCCTTGCCAGTACAGTAGGGGAGCGACAGCATGTATGACTCAGAGTCAGCAGACTGCTTAGTAGCTATGATGAAGGACTCTGTGCATCCCCCTGTGATCTCATTCCTCTCCTGTGCATGGGGAACCTCTCCATCCAGAATATGATGCTTATCATTTTCATGCATTTCTTTATCTTGTTACTACCTACAATATAGCCCCAGACTATATTGTTTTTGACTTTACCTAAATGACATCTGACATACATATTTTGCAACTGACTTTTTTTTTTTTTTTTTACTTAAAATCACCTCTGTAAATTAATCTGTATGGAGATTATGAAGGCCTAACTTACTTATTTGGGCTGTGTAGTATTCTGTTTTATGTATGTCACACCATTTATTTATACCTTTTCCTATTTTTCCTATTGAAACAACAGCCAGGTTGCTTCTGATTTTTTATAAACAGTGCTGCTTACAGACGCTCACTTTCCAAATAGTCCTCCTAACTTGCAAGCTTTGGGTAGAAGTTCACAGAAGATTTATTATGACAGTATCACCTAGCAAACAGCTCCTTATTTTCATGAATTAAATGTGGGCAGATTCACTAAGAAAATTTTTTGCTGAAATATGAATTTTGGTAAACTGCCATTGTTCACAGTCATCTTAAATTACCATTAAAACCACTCCTCAGGCACCAGCCACAGAGATCTCTGCCGCCATCTGGCCTTTTAGGTTTGGTTATGACAATGAAGGATGGTCCAGTCTAGAAAGATCGGCTCAATTACTCAATCAAACAGGTAAGCCTTTTACTGGAATTAGTTCCAGGCTTTGAGAGACTACTATTAATGTTTTTATTTTGAACAAGATCATAAGTCATAGGAGGAGGGTTTGCTGGGTCGTAAACTAATCTCTTAAAAAGGCTCTACTCTGGTAGGCAGCTGCCGAAGGATTAAGTTTCTATAACCACATCTGTCTTTGAGAGCAATTAATTCATTCGATTCTGAACAAAGCCTCATACTGAGTATCTGCAGGGAATTCTTGTCATGCCTTCGCTCTTCGAGATCCTCCTGCTGGTGGCTTCTGTTGCTTGGGGACCCACTGTTGGATACCAGAAAGCAGCCACATTAAAAGGCAGAGTGGGTCAGAGTGATGCTCTTTTGTGAAGCAGATTGCTTTTAAGAGCCTAAGGGCCAGTATTTAAGTTTCTGTGCCCTGGGCCGCTCGTCTTCATACGTAGCATCCTTTAAAAGATGTGGGTATTTGGTTCGTCACTCAACTACGTGGAGCGTGGAGCAAGACACGCAAACGTGTTATCCCTAATGATAAGCATGTCTCCTGAGAAACTGCTGGGGGTCTGTTGATTCTAATGCCACAACCTAATTTCCATGGTCCTTCGTCCTGATTCCGAGGCCTCCGAGGCACATCTGGCCGGGGTCTGTAGAAACCAGGAAACTCACTTCTGTGCCAGCACCACGGAGGTGTTTTCCCAGCAATAAAATGCTGTTGCACACCACTCTATTATTCCTGCACAGCAGTTGAGTATTTGACAAAGGGATTGTGCTTATTTGAAGTTTTGGGAAAGGTGTCAAAAGCATTTGAAAATTTAGAAGTTACGATTTTATCCTTTCCTGCATTTCCTCTGGGTGTCCCGTGTTTTAAGTACGCTTGACATGGGTGGGGGTGGGAACTCCTTCTGTAGCTCAGGTTTGATCCACTTCACTTGAGTGACTCATTAGAAACGACTTTGGGGTTCTGTTTTGTTTTGTTTTGATTTATGAGGAAAGGCAAAGGGTTTAAGAATAAAGTTTTGCTACTTGTTTTTGCACAGCTGTGGCTCATCCCTATGTGCATTTCTGTTCCTGAATAGGTGCAGATTTCATAACGATTTTGGAGAGTGATGCTTCTAAGCCTTATATCGGGAACAATGACTTGACCATGTGGCTAGGGGAGAAGTTGGGTTTCTATACGGACTTTGGCCCAAGCACGAGGGATCACACCTGGGGGTAAGTGAATGTTGGGACAAGGCCCTGAAGACCAGGCATCCTGGGCTCCCGTCCAGTAGAGAGTTGATGTTGTCATACCAGAGCCCTCTGAGTACACCCCTGGGGTGCTTCCTGCGGGGGATGGGCAGGTGCAGAAGATACGCATATTCCGTGATTGTTTGAAAGGTGTCCCTGTTGCTGGATACTTTCAGTTCTTCAGCATTATAAACCGTTCACTGTAGGAGCTGAGGTTACAGCACTAAGCGTGCCTCGCCTGATGCTGCCTGCCTGGGGCTCACCTCCTAACGCGAAGAAACAGAAAATAAACACGGACACATGGAAATACGGAAGAGTTTGAGATCATGACAAGCACTACATGGAAAAGGAAAGCGACTGGGGAGGAGGGGCAGGGGGACGGTCAGGAAGGTCTCTGTGAGAAGACCCTGCCATGAGGACCCAGGAGCCAGCCTTGGGAAGAGGGGGGACCCGCCGTGTAAAGACTCAAGGCGGGATCAGGTTTGTTGGGCCTGAAGAGGGGCGCTGAGGGGGAGCTGGTGAGAAATGAGGTCGAGGGTGGGCCCCTAATCTTAGAGAGCCACCTAGTCCATGCCGAGGACTGAGGACTTCAGTTCTGATGGAAAACCATTGGCTGGTTTTTAGGTAGGAGCCATCTGATCTGATTTACATTTTATTTTATTATTTTTTAAAAGGTTATTTATTTATTCATGAGAGAGACAGAGAGAGAGAGAGAGGCAGAGACACAGGCAGAGGGAGAAGCAGGTTCCACGCAGGGAGCCTGCTGTGGGGCTCGATCTGGGGTCTCCAGGATCACACCCTGGGCTGGAGGTGGCGCTAAACCACTGAGCCACCCGGGCTGCCCTATTATTATTAATTTTATTTTTATTTATTTTTTAAAAGATTTATTTATTTATTTATTTATTTATTATTTATTTATTATTTATTTATGATAGACATAGAGAGAGAGAGGCAGAGACACAGGCAGAGGGAGAAGCAGGCTCCCTGCAGGAAGCCCAACGCAGGACTCAATCCAGGGTCTCCGGGACCGTGCCCTCGGCCAAAGGCAGGTGCTAAACCACTGAGCCACCCAGGGATCCCCCCTATTATTATTAATTTTAAAGATTTTATTTGTTTATTCATGAGACACACACACACACACACACACACACACACCACACACAGAGGCCGAGACACAGGCAGAGGGAGAAGCAGGCTCCCTGTGGGGGAGCCCCATGCGGGACTCGATCCCGGGACTCCAGGATCATAATTTGAACCAAAAGCAGATGCTCAGCCACTGAGCCACCCAGGTGCCCCCCAATTTACATTTTTAAAAAACCATTCGGGCTGTTCCTGAAACAGCGTGTTGGGGGCAAGAGTGGGAGCGAGCGGGGAGACAGGTGATGAGATGGATGCGCTGGCACAGGTGAGAGGTGACAGTGGAGCCGGGGCCGTGGACAGAAGGGGGCCGACTCAGGAACTCCTTAGGAGCAGAGCTGATGGGACTTAACTGAGGCTTTAGGTGTCGGGGCCGCGAAGGCACAAGGGCAGCATCTACCTTTTTCACCTGAACACCTGGTAGAGATGATGCCGCTTAATGGGAAGGGAACCACCAGGCAGGGGAGCCCAACTGGGCCAACTTGAGAAGCCTCTGGAGAGTCAGGTGAGGCCCGGGCAGCCCGGAGGGCCAGGCGGGGTGTGGACGCTGGACGCGTGTGTAGGTCGCGGCGGCCTCGCCGTAGAGACGCTCCTGCCGGGAGAGGCCGCCCGCAGCCCGGGAGCAGCACCGGCTCGGGCCTGAGCTCGGCTCATCCTTTCCGAATATGTAGCTCTTGGCTCGGTGCGGGGGGGGGGGGGGGGGGGGATAGGACACGGTGTGTGTATCCTACTGGGCAGGTGGCAATTTCTGATCCTGTAAATTGTTACTCCGAGCTCTTGCTGGCAAGATCGAACATTCCTAAATGGGTTGGTCAAGATTAGAATGGTTTACGCAACACGTTGCCAGAGTAACAATGCGAGGAAAATGGATTTCGTGCTATTACCAATTCTACCCTTTTGGTGTCTCCAGAGCATTTATTGAAACAGAGTTGATGGCGTTGTGCTTAGCGACACCGAGAGACACACTAAATAGCAGAGATTTGTCGCCCTGTCGAGCCGATGCACGTTAGTGCCGCTCGCTCGGTGCCCCTCGGTGGTTTGCCTGCATGGCAACACATCGGGTGTTTGTTTTGTTTTGTTTTGTTTTGTTTTGTTTTTTTAACACATGTGCTTAGTCCTGTCTCCATGGTATAAAAGGGACCGACCCCGATGCATGTGTTTCTTTTCGTTCCAATGCAGGATTATGGTTTTGTCACGATACCCGATTGTGAAGTCAGAGCATCACCTTCTCCCGTCACCAGAGGGCGAGATCGCACCAGCCATAACACTGACTGTTAGCATCGCGGACAAGCTGCTGGATTTTGTGGTGACACACTTTGGGAATCATGAGTGGGTTTCTTTCATCTTTCTAATAGTACACGAAGCCAAGAAATATCACTAATATATTACTTGGATTTCCATGCATTGACCTTTCTTTTTTTCTCCCAAAGTATTTTTCCTTATGTAGCTGGGTTTTTGGTGTGTGTGTGTGTGTGTTTTAAGATTTTATTTATTGGAGAAAGAGAGAGGGAGAGAGGGGGAGAGAGAGAGAGAGAGAGAGAGAACGAACAAGCAGAGGTGAGGGGCAGAGGCAGAGGGAGAAGCAGACTCCCTACTGAGCAGGGAGCTGGACTTGATCCCAGGACCCCAGGATCATGCCTTGAGCTGAAGGTAGATGCTTAACCGCCCCAGTCGCCCCAGTTGTGTAGCTGGTTTTAAAAATAAGGCATAGAAACCTTTGAGATGCAGGTGGCCCTTAGAGGATGGTACGGGCCAACAACGATGGCCGTGTTGGCCAGCAGTGGCCAAGCAGGTGCTGTGCTAAGTGCATTACTGTACAGAGTTAGTACCATTATAGCCCCATTTTACAGATAAAGATTCTAGACTGAGGGAGGTTAGATGGCTTTTCCAGCAGGGTCATGAAGCAAGGCATTGGGCAGACCCAACTCAGAGCCGGCTCACACTTGGGACCGCGTGCTAAGCCAGACTACAGAAAAATGAGATATCCTTCTCCTACAGGATTATTACCGTTGGGATTTGAGGGGACTGATACTCCCTTTGCCCTCATGTCTTCACAGTCCACTGATGGTTAAGCAGGGGAATCTGGCAGGGAGATCAAAATATCTCTTAATTCTGATAAACCTATGTGGGTGATATGGCTTAAGTGTGTCCACATGGACCTGCATTTAATACATCCGCCAACAATGCAAACTGTCGTATGCATGAATACATCCACCAACAACACATGAAACTCCCCCAGAGCAGCAGACCTACCAGTAGGGGCAAGGTCTGCGCCGTCAAACTGCCCCCTTGGTAGAGGGAAAATGCCAGAAACCCCCTGTGTGCAAACTGGCAGGTTCCAAGGAGAAGAGAGAGGCAAGGTTTGAGACGAGCATGCCCAGTTAATTCTGCCAAACTCAACTAGTTAGGAAAGTCTGCCCAAAAAGCAAAAGGCGAGAGAGACCAGACATGGTTTCTTTCTTTCTTTCTTTCTTTCTTTCTTTCTTTCTTTCTTTCTTTCTTTCTTTCTTTCTTTCTTTCTTCTTTCTTTTTTTTTAAGATTTTATTTATTTGTTCATGAGAGACTCAGAGAGAGAGGCAGAGACACAGGCAGAGGGAGAAGCAGGCTCCATTCAGGGAACCTGATGTGGGACTCGATCCTGGGACTCCAGGATCACAACCTGAGCCAAAGACAGATGCTCAACCACTGAGCCACCCAGGCATCCCCAGATGTGGTTTTCTTTTCTTTTTTTTTTTTTCAGACGTGGTTTTCTAAGCAAGTTGTCCTATACGAGGACACGAGGAATAGGGAATGAGCTTTATCCCCAAAGGACAACATTTACAACCAGGGACTTCATACTGAATAAATCATGAATGATGCCAACCGTAGATCATAAAAGATAAAGTCACGTAATTTATACTCTGCCATAGTAGACATTCTGTGACAACAATTGAAAACACTAACCTAAAAAAAAAAAAAACAAGAAAACACTAACCTAAGTGCTATAAAACGGGGCATAGAGGTGCTGTCCACGTTAATGCCAAGAGCCACAGAGCTTTAAAGTGACGTACAGGACGGTGGAACCCCACCACTGTACTGTTATGTTTCACCAAAACAAAGCCAATGTGTCTGCTACCCTGATTTTCCCATTTCTCACAGCATTATGCGGATCGGTGAAGGCATACTTGAGTATTTTCTGAACTAAGTCAGAGCTTAGTAACATAAACCATCCAAATGTAATTACGTGAACCATTCGCTCACCGCACCCTTGCTAGTCTCCCTAGAAATGAAAAGGGTGTTTATTAATTTTTTTAAAAGATTTTATTTATTTATTCATGAGAGACACACAGAGAAAGAGACAGACACACAGGCAGAGGGAGGAGAAGCAGGCTTCCTGCAAGGAGCCCGATGTGGGACTCGATCCTGGGAATCTGGGATCACACCCTGAGCCAAAGGCAGATGCTCAACCGCTGAGCCCCCAGGTGCCCCGAGCAGTCTGTTTAGAGGACAGGTGATACTGAAGGGCCATATCTCTTTCAAAAGCTGTTTAGAGAAATGCCTCTGTTTCTCTCAATAATTTTCATGTAGCAATGACAGGCATTCACAACCCATTCCACTGACCTTACATTGCATTGGGTTTGGCTTTTTTTTAAAAAAAATAGGCATTTTTATGTGTGAAGTTGCAAGGTCTTAACCTAAGAAACAGCTCAATATACCCCTTCCCGTTTTTCCTTTGCTTCCCTGCCCCCTCCCCCCCCCACCTCTTCAACTCCTTCCAACCTCCAAAATGTAAAGAATAGACTTAAAAGAGACTAAATATAGCCCTCAGAATGTGCTTGGAAAAGAGGAGGGGAAGGATTACCTTTTCTAACTTTCTATGAACCACATTTTTAAGTCTCTGTAATCAACACCACACCTTTCACGTGTTCTCACTCATTCACTTGGTTTAATAACACACGCACACACCTATGCATGCCCGCGTGCATACACGCCTGCATACGTACGTACTTGCGGTGACCACAGCAGTAACAGTGCTAGCTGACACTCACTGGGGAGATGTAGCTAGCAGTGTAGCTGAGTGGTTAAAAGCGTGGCATTCCAGAACCTGGAATCAGACAAGCTGATCTCAGTCTTAGGTGAAGGTATATCCTTCCCGGGGTTGCCTTCGGCTTCTGTTTTTCTCACTTGTAAATCAGGAGCAATAATCCTATTTCATACGGATTCATTGTGAGAATTAAGTGGGATATCATCATCTCGTGCAAGGTGCACGAATACAGTAAGTGCTCATTTAATCCTGCTCGTGATTATAAAACCAAATCAGATAACCCTAAACGGAAGGTCTGTTGGGCAGCTTAAAAGAGAATTCATTCAGCAAACACAGATCACACCTGTGCCGTGTCCCAGGCGCAGAGCGAGGTGCAGTCTTTCCCCTTCGAGCCACAGCTCTGGAAAGGCCCCGTCCGTGGACCCTGTGGCCTTCCAGCAGGTGACATGAAGAAGTTCGGCGTTTGAATAATTTGTGAAGCCACCGTTAACGGGCTTCCATTTGCCTTTGTGTTCTACAGTGTCAGATAAAAAATTCCCACCGTGAATAAATATTTAGAGATTTCATTTTCTAGTGATTATGGCATACAAATACGAAGTCACATTAGGAGTGAATTATGGAATGCTTATGCATGTTATTAGCTGATTCAACAAGATTTTTTAAATTACCGACTACACAAATATCTCTTTACAACCAATAAATAGGAAATAGCAGCATTCCTTAGAAGCATTTAGGTATACACCGTAACTAAAATTAATGTTATTTTCTATAATTAACTGAGCCACCAGTTAATCACCACCTTTTTTTTTCCTATAACATCATAAATACACAAAGAAGAACGAGTGCAGAACCTGTAGTGTGTAGTTATAATTTTGGCTCTGCAGTAAGATCATCTCAGTGAGTTCCAATCCTCTTATTTCTGAATTGGATAAAATTATTTTTTCCAGCCCACACGATAGAGTTATTGGGCCGATCAAATACTAACAGATAAAGAAAATATAAAATGTGTTCTCTCTCTGGTGCGCCTTCCCCCTACCCCCTCCCTCTTTCTTCTTATACTCAAACATATACTATTTTTTTCATTTTAAAAAATATTTATTTGGGACACCTGGGGGGTTCAGCGGTTAAATGTCTGCCTTCTGCTCAGGGCGTGATCCTGGGGTCTGGGGATCGAGTCCTGCATGGGGTTCCTTGCGAGGAGCCTGCTTCTCCCTCTGCCTGTGTCTCTGCCTCTCTCTCTGTCTCTCATGAATAAATAAGTAACATCTTTTAAAATAATTATTTAAGTAATCTCTATACTAACATGGCTCAAACTCACGACCCAGAGATCAAGAGCCGCATGCTCCTTCAACTGAGCCAGCTGGGCACCCCTATTACACTATTTATTTTTATTATTATCACTGGGTGAAATTTATCACCTGAGAAAATGTGAAGCCAAACTTATAGATTATTTTCCAATAATATATTGCTAAAATACATTTGCATAAAAGCACTATCTCTATGTACAGTGACCTTGCAGTTCTCTTGGCCAGATTTGAATCCCAGTCGTGTGTATCAGAAGGAACACAATTCACTGCAGACCTACTTAAGAGACTACTGACCAAGATGTTGGAAGGGTCTAAAGAACAGATAAGCAATACTAGTCGGGAAGAGTGGCCACCAGGCAGAAAGAATGCAGCTCTGGGGAAGAAGTACCCAAACTTCTCTCTCCTCCCCTCTCTTTATCTCTTGCTGGTGCCTCCAATTGGCCAAACATAAATGGAAATCAGCAGAAAAGGGAGCAGGAGATGGAATCTGCAGGGGTGAGCCTCTCAGGGCACAGAGAAGGGCTGAGACCACATCCAGACAGGGAGCTGGAAACAACCATAGGCGTGGTCCTTAGCCATTTAAAAATTTAAATTTAAAAATAGAGCTCATTTAAAAATAGAGCTAATGCCTGCCTCTCAGTTCTTGTGAATAATCAGTATCAAAGATGTTTAACAAATGGTCGCTCTTTTCACCCTTCACCCTTCTATTTCTTATGACATCTTTTAATAGTACTCAGCTGTCTATGCATTCTCATCTACGCTTGGTCCTGTCCGGATCCTACCTCGGCGAGGTTTCTCCAGTCTTCTCAGTTCTTGGCCTTATCGCTCGGCCTTTGTCACTGTTTTGGTTTTGTTTCCATTTTTGTTTTGTTTTTGTTTTTTACTTCAGTCATTATTAGCTACCTGTGTGGGTTCTCTGTAGGGCCTGTGTGGGTTCTCCTGCCTACATATTCTTCATGCATTCCTGGCTTGTCTCCCTCTTGGCTAAACAGCACAGGGAACCTCGTTTCCCAGAGTCTGTTGCTTCCTGGCTCCTGGGGAGGTTTAGCCCATGGAAGGCATTAGTGCCAGACTGGAGGGCAGGAGGAGGAGAGAAGATAAGGTGCTTCTCATTGTCTCTCTCTCTCTCCTTTCTCTGCTGTCTCTGGCAGGAGCTGAGGGTCTCTGTAGCTCTATCTCCTCCGTCGATGGCCCCAGCAACATAAGCAGCCTCCCGCAAAGCACCATCTCCCACCGGTCAGGGCTGCTTGCAGACTCTGAGAATATCATCTCCCCCTGTTGTCCCTCTAGCCCCACAAGTCCTACTGGTCTCTCATTGTTGCTAAACTGTGCTTGCCTCTCTGATTCCTATTTTGCCTCCCATCCTTGAGGTAACCAGTTTCCTATATTAAATTCAGCCTGTTTGAAACACCTAGAGTAGTTTCAGTTTTCCTGGCTGGCTCACGTTAAATATGATATCTCTATTTTTCTCCTAAACAGACTGACAGTAAACCCCTCAAAAGCATGATGTACCTACCTGATTATCTCAGTTACACACCTATGGCGCTTAGCCTAATTAAAGCATCATGTTAGGCCAGCCTTTGACCAGGACAGCCAGGGTGGCTTTTAGAACTGTTTGGTTGATGGGGCTGAGTAGGTCACATAAGCCGGGGGTGCTCCATGAACACAGGATCTTTGCTCTTACCAGTACTTAAAATTTTATTTTTTTTTATTATTATTTTTTTGCCCACTAGTCTTTAGCTGTAATACTGGTGACCTGTAATCAGGTCTCAGATTACTGGTGTGATCTCTTCTGACAAAAAGTTGAGCAAATGCTGTTTTGGAATAGATATTTAAATCAACTTGATTTCAACCGATTAGGCAGGGGGAAGATCATGTTCTTAGTACAGATTTTGTCAACCTACCCAGCTGGAGCACTGTATCTCTGACTTGTTCATTCACGTAACATTGAGTCATTTAGCCAAGTAGGAATCACTCGGAGTTTGTATACTGTTTGCAGATATCTGGGGGGAACTTACACACCTGGCACTTTTTAAAAATTGTCTTGCAGGGATGCTTGGGTGGCTCAGTGGTTGAGCACCTGCCCTCGGCTCAGGGCATGATCCCAAAGTCCCTGGATCGAGTCCCGCATCAGGCTCCCTGCATGGAGTCTGCTTCTCTCTCTGTCTCTGCCTCTCTGTGTCCCTCATGAATAAATAAATAAAATCTTTAAAAATAAAATTGTCTTGAAAATACAATAAAGAGGTACGTTTTTGCATTTTAGAGATGACCTTGACAGGAAACTTCAGGCAATCGCTGTTTCAAAACTACTGAAAAGTAGCTCCAATCAAGTGATATTCCTGGGATATATCACTTCAGCACCCGGTTCCAGAGATTATGTGCAGCTCACTGAACATGGCGATGTGAAGGTAACACAATCTTAATAGGATTTCTGATTTCTTAAAGTAAAATGCTTCTTCTTCATGTTAAAAAAAAAAAAAACCTCAGTGCAACAATCTAGTATGTATTTTGATTATAGACTGCTGCATAAAAATCCAAGACACCTACTGGCTTTAAACAACAGCAGTCCTCAGATGCTCATGGATCTGCAGTTTGGACAACGGCTGGAAGGGGGTAGCTCCTCTCTGCACAGCTGGGTGGCTCAACTGGGGACTGGGGGAGCCACTTTGCAGATGCCTCGCAGGTGGCAAGTTGGTGCTGGCTGTTGACCAGGAGCTCAGTTGGGGCTTTGGTTTCTCTCCATGGGCTAACTTGGGCTTCCTCCCTGCAGATGGCTGGGCTCTCAGCGTGTGTCCCAGAGAGAACCAGGAAGAAGTTGTACTGCCTTGTATGACCTAGCTTTGTGAGTTCCACAGTGTGACCTCTGCTGTCATGTGAAGCCAGCTCACGTTCATGTGGGAGAAACAGAAATCCCATCTCTCCATGGGAGGAGTATCAAAGTCACGTTTTAAGACTAACATATGGAGAATGGGTTATCGTAGCTGTGTTTAGGAAATATAATGTGCTACCTTATGCAACTTAATTATGATGTTGAGAGTAAAAGATAGACTGAAATATACAGGGAGGCTGGCGAATCCGTCCTATAGGGCCTCACTAACTGCATTGGTCCTTGCCTGTTTGGGTCTAAGACCTCAATTTGTCAGTGTCCCCAGAGACGATCACGCAGTGGGGAGCTGACACACAAATCAAATCCTTGAGGCAGATCTATGTACACTGGAATGCTAAATGCATTAATTTATAATGAGAAATATAATTGTAATATAGATGTAGATGTGTATGTCGATTTCTTGGTCCTTTACATTTTGTTTGGAGTTTCATGTCTTGAGGTATTGGCAGAGAAAAAGGCTTACCCATCTTACCAAGGGTTTGGAAAGACAGATGAGAAAGAGCATGATGGGATGAGGGTTGCTACTGTGGCTTACATAGGAGAGAGATGTATTTCTTTACGTAAAAGCCTGGGCCGGTGATCCAGTACCGACTCCACGGTGTCGGGAAGGTGCTCCTTCTATCGTGTGGCTTCACTTTACAAGGCCTCCATTCCCCAGTGTGCCTCATGGCCCACGATGGCAGCAACCATGTTCTAGCTGGCTGGGCAGAGGAAGGGATGAAGAAGGGGCCAAGAGCATGTGCAAGTTCTCTCCAAAGGCAAATTCCAGGAAGCTGACCTCTAGCACGTGTACTTACATTTAGTTGACTGGAATTTAGTCACATGGCCACACCCGGATGTCTCGAAAGTCGAGAGGTGCATTATGCCATCTCGATATATACACCCAGCTAAAAATGCTACAACTTGGGGAGACAGGCAGTCAGCTATTGGGGAAATGAGTGAATCTCAGTGGCAGTGGATAACACAAGAAGTGAAGTTAAGAGGACTCCTGATTTTGACTTCGGTCAGAGGACTTATGGTGGTGACGTTATTAAAGAGAACACTCAGGGCACCTGGGTGACTCAGTGGTTGAGTGTCTGCCTTAGGCTCAGATCATGATCCTGGGGTCCTGGGATTGAGTTTTGCATCGGGCTCTCCCCGCAGGAAGCCTGCTTCTTCCTCTGCCTGTGTCTCTGCTTCTCTCTCTGTGTCTCTCATGAATAAATAAACGAAATCTTAAAAAAAAAAATAAAGAGAACACTGAAGGAAGAAGAGTTTTGCAAAGGTGACCATGAGTTTAGCCCTTGGCTGAGTCAAGGCACCTGTTGGGTATTGATGAAAACATCCAACAGACAGCTGGATGGACAGATTTGGAACTGAGGAGGGCAGTCAGGACTAGAAATATAGGTTAAGGAGCTGCCACCATGTAAGCGATCATGGAAACCATGGAAGTGGATGACACTGCCACTAAGTTAGAGAAGAATAGAAGGAAGGCCAAAGAAAACCTCTGAGAAGACTGCATTTAATGTGGCTATTGTGGGAGTGATGGTGAGGGAAGCCGAGGGACACGATCTCAGAAGAGAGATTACGGAGAGGTCAGAAGAATAAAAGGCAATCCTGGCGAGCATGGAGTCACAGAGGCTGTATCAGTTACTTAGCGCTGTGTAACAAACACCTCAAACCTTAGAGGCTCAGAACAACAATGGTTTAAGATCCCTTTGATTCCATGGGTTGCTTGGTGGTTTTCCCTTCTTGCCTGGGTTCACTCGTGCAGTCGGCTGGTGGCTGTGGCTGGGTGTGTGTGAGAGGGCCCCATTCACATGTCTGAGGCTTTGGTGCTAGTTGTCAGCCGGGCCTCTCTCCCCATATGGTCTCACTAGCCCAACTGGTGCCACATTTACCAGCTGTGTGAGCTAGGGGCAAGTTATTTAAAAATTTCCAGGCCTCAATGGCTGCATCTATAAAGTGGTGGTAGTCATATCTGCTGTATTACAGGGGGGAGGTTATGAGGAAGAAATCTAAGATAATGTCTGCAGAGCCCTCAACCTCCTATGTAAGAGGCACTTGGTAAGTGGTAGCTATATATAGGTATTATGTGCATCTGGCTGTGTGCATAAAATCAAATAAGATAAATGTGTAAGTACATGGTCTATAAAGTGCAAAAGAATGTTAGACAAGACAGTATTTGGCAAGTCTAAGGAAAAAAATGCATCCTAATAAGAGAAGGAATTCTTACATTTTTATAGTGTGTATGTGTGTGTGTGTGTGTGTGTGTGTGTAAGGGATATGGATGGTGTTAAGGAAGAGGAATTTTATTTGATTTTTATTTAATCCTCTGTTGGTTACCATTATCATAGTCAAAAGCTGTGTCAAGATTGGCAGTGGATCCTTATATAGCTTTTTCTATTAGGAAGTTTATTAATGCAGAGAGGAGTTTTAATCATAAATGCTTGGATGAACAGATTTTTCTCTTTAGGAAATGAGTATTTGAATTCTGCAGTCTTAAAATTTGACAGCATCTTTTTAAAATCTAATAAAAAACGTGACAGTTAAACATATTCATAGTTTATTATTCCCAGTATATACAGCTGAATGACTAAATTTTTATTTCTTTCCAAGGCAAACCAGATAGTACTCTTTCAATTTATTTGCTCTTTTCGTCATTCATATTTTAAGATTTAACTTAAAAAATGCATTATCATTTTTTCCCATGTATGCAAAGGCATGCATATGTGAGTGTGATATATAAGCAATAGTAAAGATCAACAAGCATCTATGTCTATGTGTTCACCTCTAAGCTTCCGAAAAAAATGAAGAAATAGACCATAAATTGTGTTTTCTTTTAGTGATTTAAAAACATGTTTTAAGTTAAATTTAAGTAAATAGTAAAATTGAGAAATGATCAGGAGGCAGGTATATTTTATATTTATAGGAATCTTTAAAAAGAAGAAGATAGAAATTTCTTTAGCATAAAAGCTCTATATCTAGAGTTTTCCCAGCACATCACAGAAAAAGAATATGTTTATGTTCTGCTTCTCTGATGAAAAATAACACTGGTCTTAAGCTTTCAACATCAAAAAGGCTCATGATTACTCCCCAAATGTGTTTATTTCCAATGATTCAATTTAACAAACTCAGATTGAGCTCCTGCCGAATGCCAGGCTTCATGCTAAGTACCAGGGAGCCAACGTGATTAAGAGTTCCTCGGCTCAGGAAGGGGCGGGGGGAGACCCAGACACAAATAACAACAGAACGGTGTAGCTGGTGTGTACAAGGTACTGCATAGCATGACCGATGAGGGTGCGGTAAATTCTGCTCTGCGTGAAAGACTTGGAAAGCCGCAGGGAGCCAGCGACTGTGCTGCTGATTCACCTGCCTGACCTTGCCTGTAGCTCACCTTCATCACTGTACCCCCAGCACCTAGTACAGGGCCTACCTAGATGGGCACCTACGAGGGGCTCCAGAAATATCTGTAAAATGAATAGATAATTTGGACCTCAACGGATCATTAGGAGTGAGACAGAGAAAACAGCGTGCACGAAAGCATATTTATTACTGTTGTTCACACACGTTCTTGGCAATTCAGAATAGAGCATTGTTTTTCATGCTTTAAACATTATCTCCTCTGTTCTTTATTTAGGATATTGACAGCACAGATCAAGACAGATGGTGTGAATATATTATGTACCGAGGCCTGATCAGGTGAGCAGAGGTTTTTGGTTGTTGCTGTTTTATTATCTACTATTACTGTGATCTTTTGGGCCTATCCTGGAAGAAAAAACTTTATAGAAGCCATTCATTTTGTTGCTTTTTATGAACATTGATTCGGCTAGTTAAACAGTTTAATTTTTTTTTTCCCAAGGCATGGCCTAATGATTTAAGAAAGAATAAATGGTAGAGTAAATTAAGCTTAATTACATGAAAAAGGATACCATATGAGTTATTAAGCATGATGAGCACATAACTATAAACACATGTTAGGAATGACACCAGTTTGGGCTGTATGGCACGGTGGAGACATGGGCCACGGAGTAGGAAAGCCCTGGGCTGAATTCCAGCTTTGCCAAGTTCTAATCATGTCATTTTGGGTAGGTTAACTCACTTCCTGGAATCACTGCTATATGGGGTGAGATCTATAGGTAAACTATATTTTAAAAAATCACCCCATATAGGGGCATCCCGGGTGGCTCAGCAGTTTAGCGCGGCCTTCAGCCCAGGGCGTGATCCTGGAGACCTGGGATCGAGTCCCATGTCGGGCTCCCTGCAGGGAGAGCCTACTTCTCCCTCTGCCTGTGTCTCTGCCTCTCTCTCTCTCTGTCCCTCATGAATAAATAAATAAAATCTTTTTAAAAATCACCCCATATCAAAAAGTATTAGCCATATATACACACATTAGTGTGTGTGTGTATATATATGTGTGTGTGTGTGTGTATATATATATATATATGTATGTATTCATTCCAAAATAATATACCTAAAGGATCTTAAAATTCCAATATGTAACTGTGTAAACCTGTTTGGAAGATACTATTTCCTTAAATAAAGCTAAAGCAGTTTAATACCAAAAAGGGATAACCATATAATTTTTCATTTGTTCATTCCAAGTATTTATTAAATACCTATTATATGCCAGGCATTGTTCTAAGCAGTGGGGGTCTAATAGAAACAAAGCAAAATCCTTGACTATCATAGAGCTTATATTCCAGTAGAAGGAGACAGAAAATAAGTATATAAGAAAGAGAATGACAGGTGGTGATAGAGGTGATGGAAAGATGGATGAGGCCAGGTAAGAAGGATGGGGATGGGGAATCAGGGTGGGGGGGTGGCTGTGGTATGAGCCAGAGGAGGGGCAGCAGCCTAAAGAAATGAGGGAGGTCACCTATGGATATCCTGGGAAGAGCCCTGCCAGCAAGAGGAAGAGCAAGTACAAAAGCTTGAAAGTTTGGGTGGCAAATGCCTGGTATTTGTTGGCAACAGCGAGGAAGCCAGTGTGGCTGGAGTAGAGTGAGATGGGGGTGGGGGGGGTAAATGAAGACAGATCATGTAGACAATGGTCCCTCCACTTATAGGATTCTTCAATCAAGGGAACACATTGGAGATAGTCTCTGAAACTCCCAGCTCCCCTCCTGCTGGTACACAATCTGTTCGGACATACTTGACCTGAAGCCTCTAACCACGCTCCTCAGGACAGTGCTGGGAACTGTGGTGTGGGCTTCTATGAATGGGCCTCTCTGGGCCTCAACCTCTTCTCCACACAGACCAGTTTGGGTGCTAAACACCCAGAGGTGTTTTAGCGATTGGCTACTTGAAGTTAGGGTTGATGTTGAACTGATCACCCCTAAGTAGCCTTATATTTTAAGACCTGTGGTCTACATTTATGAAAGGAAACAGCTGCCTTCCAGGGATGCTACAGAATCATAGGATCAACTTCTCCCTGATTTGAGATATGGTTTGTTCAGTTATGAGTCATAGTCTAGTGAGGACAAACCGTTATGTGCAACGGTTCTTTACCTTATTTGTCATTCAGCAAGTATTGGTGGAGCACAGTGAACGCCAGGCACCAGGGGTGTAAGCAGTAAACAAAACAGAGAAGGGTCCCTACCCCGGCAGAAGGGAGAACGACAATAATTCCCTGTTGTCATATTTTCGGAGGTGCTGGGTACGGTGGGAAACACCTGGGCAAGATAAGGAGCATCCAGAGCATGGAGAGGGGGTGCCATTGTGATACGGGGTGGGGCAGGTCTTATCAAAAAGGTGACATTGGAGCTAATTTGAAGGAATGCGCCATGTGGCTGAGAGAAGACCCTTCCAGGGACCAGCTAGTGCAAAAGTCCAAAGGCAGGAGTGCAAATGTGTCCGAAGAAAAGTGAGGCTAGTGGGACTGGAGTGTGTGTAGGGGGATGAGGGTGGAGGAAGAGGTAAGGGGGAGTATATGGGCAGGGAAGGAAGGCAGCAGGTCACGTAAGGTTCTGTGGACTCTTATTAAGAACTTTGGATATGGTGACCTTCATTGGTTCCTGAACAATTCCATGGGGCCCTATACTTACTGGGATGAGACAAGGAGACTCTTTCTTTTCTTTTCTTTTTTTTTGTTTGTATTTTTTTTATTGGAGTTCAATTTGCCAACATATAGTATAACACCCAGTGCTCATCCTGTCAAATGCCCCCCTCAGTGCCTGTCACCCAGTCACCCCGTCCCCCTGCCCACCTCCCTTTCCACAACCCCTTGTTCGTTTCCCAGCGTTAGGAGTCTCTCATGTTCTGTCTCCCTTTCTGATATTTCCACTCATTTTTTCTCCTTTCCCCTTTCTTCCCTTTCACTATTTTTTATATTCCCCAAATGAATGAGACCATATAATGTTTGTCTTTCTCTGATTGACTTATTTCACTCAGCATAATACCCTCCAGTTCCAACCACGTCGAAGCAAATGGTGGGTATTTGTCCTTTCTAATGGCTGAGGAATATTCCATTGTATCCATAGACCACATCTTCTTTATCCATCATCTGTCGATGGACACCGAGGCTCCTTCCGCAGTTTGGCTATTGTGGACATTGCTGCTATGAACATCGGGGTGCAGGTGTCTCAGTCTTTCACTGCATCTGTATATTTGGGGTAAATCCCCAGCAGTGTGATTGCTGGGTCGTAGGGCAGGTCTATTTTTAACTCTTTGAGGAACCTCCACACAGTTTTCCAGAGTGGCTGCACCAGTTCACATTCCCACCAACAGTGCAAGAGGGTTCCCCTTTCTCCACATCCTCTCCAACATTTGTTGTTTCCTGTCTTGTTAATTTTCCCCATTCTCACTGGTGTGAGGTGGGATCTCATTGTGGTTTTTATTTGTATTTCCCTGATGGCCAGTGATGCGGAGCATTTTCTCATGTGCTTGTTGGCCATGTCTATGAGACAAGGAGACTCTTGAGATGCCAAGATAGTTCTGGTTATGCTAATAATTCAGAAGCTCCAAAAGGCCCAGAACATGCCCACATGGCTGCAGGACAGATAGCTTGACTATTATTTTGGTGTTTCCAAAGGGTTAAGGTGGGAGGGAGATGCTAAAGTGTTATGTATAAAGTATGTGACGTCAGATTAAAAACAGTTTCTGTTTACATTCATATTAAAGTGGCTGTTTTAATGGGGATATTAGAATTTCTAGAAAACAGTTTATGATATAGACTGAAAAAGGTATAAATTGAAGTTGTAAATATTGTTAGTTGCCAAGGAACAGTGATATTTATAGTACCCGTGCCCATAATAGCTAATCATTTGGCTCTGTATACTTGCCGCCCAAGACCTTTATCACCTCTCCTTGGAAGAGTAGGGTGGCAGATTTTCAATATATAAATATTTACATATATATGCTAAATATGGCTGGGCGGCTTAAACAACAGAAATTTATTTTCTCACTGTTCTGGAGACAGAGACACAGAAAGAGAGCATGTGCAAGCACACATGCTATATGGCATCTCTTCTTATAAGGACACTAGTCTTATCGAATCAGGATCCCATCCTGTGACCTCATTTAATTTAATTACTCCCTGGAGGCCCCATCTCCAAATATGGATACACTGGGGGTTATAGTTTGACATACTAATTTGGGGGTGACACAAACATCATATTCATAACAGATGGAAAGGTAACAGAACTAGAACAAGAAAATCCTAAACTTTATATGGAACCACAAAACACCCCCAATAGCCAAAGCCATCTTGAAAAAGAAAAGCAAGGCTGGAGATATCATAATTCCAGACTTCAAATTATATTACAAAGCTATAGTATTCAAAAGAGTATGATATTGGTACAAAAATAGACACATAGATCAGGAGAACAGAATAGAAAACCCAGAAATGAACCCATAACTGTATGGTCAACTCATCTTCGACAAAGCAGGAAAGAATATCCAAAGGGAAAAAGTCTCTTCCACAAATGGTGGTGGGAAAACTGGATGGCAACATGCAGAAGAATGAAACTGGACCGCATTCTTTCACCAAACACAAAAATAAACTCAAAATGGATTAAAGACCTAAATGTGAGACAGGAAACTGTAAAAATCCTAAAGGAGAACATAAGCAGCAACCTCTTTGAGATCAGTCGTAGCAACTTCTTTCTAGATATGTGTCCTGAGGCAAGGGAAGTAAAAGCAAAAATAAACTACTGGGACTGCATCAAAATAAAAAGGTCCTGCACAGCAAAGGAAACAATCAACAAAACTAAAAGGCAATGTACAGAATGGGAGAAGATATAAAAGATATTTGCAAAAGACATATCTAATAAAGGGTTAGTATCTAAAATATATATAGAATTTATAAAACTCAACACCCCCCAAAATGAATAATCCAAATAAAAATGGGCAGAGGAAATGAACATTTTTCCAAAGAAGAAGACATCCAAATGGCCCAACAAACACGTGAAAAGATGCTCAATATCACTCATCAATGGGGAAATGCAAATCAAAAGTACAATGAGGTCACCTCACATCTGCAGAATGACTAAAATAAAAAACACAAGAATAACAAGTGTTGGTGAGGGAATGGCTTAAAAGGAACCCTCTTGCATCGTTGGTGGAAATGCAAGCTGGCGTAGCCACTGTGGAAAACAGGAGATTCCTCAAAAAGTTAAAAATGGAATTACCATATGATCCAGGCATCATATTACTGGGCAGCCACCCCAAAACGACAAAACACATTCAAAGGGATATATGCACCCCTATGTTTATAGCAGGATTATTTACAACAACTAAATTATGGAGTCAGCCCAGGTGTCCATCAATAGATGAATGGATAAGAAGTGGCGTATATACACAGCGGAATATTATTCAGCCATAAAAAGAATGAGATCTTGCCATTTGCAATGCCATGGATGCAGCTAGAGGTTATAATGTTAAGCAAAATAAGTCGGTCAGAGAAAGACACATACTATATGATTTCACTCATACGGGAAATTTTAAGAAAGATAACGAACAAACAAAGGGGGAAAAAAAGGAAAGAAGGAGGCAAACCAAGAAACACTCTTAACTGTAGAGAACAAGCTGATGGTCACCCAAGGGAGGTGGATGTGGGGATGGGGGAAACAGGTGATGGGGATTAAGGGGGACACTTGCCATGATGACCACGGGGTGATGTATGGAATTGTTGAATCACTATATTGTACATCTGAAACTAATATTATACTGTTAAGTAACTGGAGTTTAAAAAAATACCCAAATGAATGAAGTGAGGGATTATTGTTTTCCAGTTTCTGTCCATAAAACTAATTCTATAAACTTGATCTCAACCACCTAATTCAGTGTCCTGCACTTAGTAAACACTTAATAAATACCAGACAATAAGAGATTCCTTGTTTTAGTAGACAGTTTGGATTGTCTTCAAGGACTTATTTTTATTTATTTATTTTTAAGATTTTATTTACTTGTCAGAGACCTAGAGAGACAGAGAGGCAGAGGGAGAAGCAGGCTCCCTGGAGGAGCCTGATGTGGGACTCGATCCTGGATCCTGGGATCATGCCCTGAGCAGAAGGCAGATGCTCAACCTCTGAGCTCCCCAGGCGTCTCTTCAAGGACTTTTCGAAGGCCCTTGAAGGCAGTGTCTAGGAAATGAGTTAGAACTTTGATCTCAGAGATTTGATAAATAACAAAACCTAGATTTACTAGAGACGGTGACCTAGAATTACAGGGAACTGCATAGATCTGGGCCTGAGCTTAGACACAGAGCTGAACCTGTCAGACAGCTCTCGCCCATTCTGACGGGGTCACAGCTCTCTCCCTTCACGGTGGGCGGGCTCGCCGCCTCCCCGGGCCCCAGCTCTGGGTTTCTGTCTCTCTCTTGTATGTGGCTACAGGTTTTGTTTTTAATGTTTCTCCTCCTACTCGTCTGGCTTAGGCCCCCACCGTCTTTCACCTAGACCATTGAGGGGGGCCTGGTCTCCTTCCTTCCACCCTTTCCACTGGTCTCCCTCCTTCCACCCTTTCCCCCAAGTCTGTTCTCTGCACGGTTGCCCTCGCATTTCTGCACAGAACCGCTTGGATTTCCATCTCACTCTCAGAAAAATATCTTCAGTCCTTAGAGGGGTCTGCAAGGAGCATTGTACCATCTTCCATCCCAACATCCACGCAACATCCGTCTCCTACTGTGTTTGCCCTTATGCACTCCACTCCAGTCATCGTGGAACTGGCCCTCAAAAAGGCCAAGCACATGGGCACGGGGGTGGCTCAGTCGGTTAGACATCTGCCTTTGGCTCAGGTCATGATTCCAGGGTCCTGGGATCAAATCCTGAGTCAGGCTCCCTGCTGAGCAGAGAGTGTGCTTCTCCCTCTCCTTCTGTTCCTCTGCCCCTCCTCCCCACTCATTCTCTCTCTCTCTCTCAAATAAATCAATCTTTTTTTTTTTTTTTTTTTTTTTTTTTTTTTTTAAAGCCAAGCACATTCTCCTTTGGGACAGTTGCTGTTCCCTAGCTCCCTATCCCTAGAGCACCCTTCCACCAATACCTGTATGGGTTGTTTCTTTACTTCATTCAATCTTTTGCTCAAATGTCATTTTGTCAGAGCTGTGTGCTCCGACCATCAACTCTACACCAGCAACCTCTGCCACTTAGCATTCCCTGTCCTCTTGACTCTGCTTATTCCCTGGGGTACTTAGGCAGTTTTCACCACTTCACAGATTTTATACGTACATACACATTTAATTTGTTCTCCCCAACTAGAATGAAAGGTCTATGAGGGCAAGGGTTTTGTTTGTTTGCTGTTTCTCCCCCATATCTAGAATGATGCCTGCATGTAGTAGGGACTTGAGATGTATTTGTTCACTGAATAAGTGAATGAATGAAGCTGATAGTTTTTTTTTTTATAAAGAGGCAAAATATAAATAAAATTGGTTGCCCATGGTTCCCCCGTTTTTCCATCTGGGCCTCTCTGTAACTGTTTGGATAACATCTATAAAATGCTTTGATTTCCTGGAGAACTGAAAGCTCTAAGCAAAAACAGGATGTGCAATTTTTTCAGACGTACAAAAGCTTTTATTCCAGACTTGTAAATGTGGGTGAAAATATGCATGTGGTATTTGAATTTTTAAAGGTAAGAAAGAGTTTAGGCTTATCCTCCTGTCATCCTGAAGAACTCCTGTTCCTGATGCAAAACATAATTGTATGATAGGTGATTTGTAGAGATAGAATATTCATTAGTGTGTGTTTAATTAATTAAATCTGTGTGCATGTTCCGTATTCATTTATATAATAAAAGCAATATTTTGATAAATATTTGGAGTAACAAATCAAGCTAATTCTAGTGACATACAGAGTAGAGTTATAAATGGGAAATTGGCCTAATAATGCAGGTGATACCTATTAGATCTCATCAGATTTCTGTGCGGTGATAAAACCTTTACAAACTCTTTCTATATCTGCCACAGATTGGGTTACGCAAGAATCTCCCATGCTGGACTGAGTGACTCCGAAATTCAGATGGCCAAATTTAGGATCCCTGATGATCCCATTAATTATAGAGACAACCAGAAAGTGGTCACAGACCAGAGGAAAGTTCCAAAGGAGATTCGTTTCAATCCTAGGTGAGTGCATTCCCTTCAAGAGGCATCACATCCCCTCTAGGGACCTAAAAATTATCTATCCGACGATGAGTTTCCAAATTATGTATGGTTCTAGAAGTTTGTTCGGGTAAGGGAGCTCATGGTTAAAATGATAAAACCCTGCTCAGATTGAAGTTAAGTTATGGTCCCTGTTTTCTGGGATGGAGGAACATGCTCGGGTCACCTTCAGCCCAGGTGAAAAAGATCACATTGGCATCATCACCATCACCATCACCACCAGAATGATAGCTAATATTTGAGTGTTATGTGTCCCAGACCCTGTTTTAGGTGCTTCAGGTATTATCTCAATTAATCATCATTGGATTGGTCCTCTCATTATCATCATTTTATAGGTAGGAAGTTCAGGCTGAGGAACGTGCAATAACTTCACTAGGGTTATGTGGCTCATGAGTGACGGAGCTAAGAAGGGGGAAGGAGGCCTGCTAGCATGGTCGGGTTGCTGACATTCTCAGCTCTGGCTGCACACTTGACTCACCTGGAGAGCCCCACGCCAGGCCAACTCATCAGGACCTCTTGTTGAATTTTAAAAAATTGTTCTCAGGTACTCTGATGTGCAATTAGCATTGGAGCTACGTAGAGTGGATAATTCATTTCTGTTGCAGAGATTCTAGAATGTGAAATAGATTTTGTTGAGTTCTAAACAGAGGTTGTCGGAGAAACCTATTTGCAGCAGATTATGTGCTTTGGAGTATGTGTTCTTTTTTCTTCCCAAGACTAGATAATGAGAAGAAATGTCTGCATAAAACCAAGCCCAGAATATCATCTGTGTTATTATTATTTGACATCTCAACTACTTTTACCAGCTAATTGCTGAGGAAACTTCTCAGACTTCATTTTATTTGTTCCCGGGGGCGGGGGTGGTGAGGAGAGGGATGGTGGGATTTAGCTGTTTGCTTTTTCTTCCTTGTCTCTCCTTACAAGAAAAAACTGTACCAAAGCTTAGGGAATGAATGTAAGAAGAGCTATAACCAGGTCTCGATTGCTTGCATTACCGTGTTTGATCTCATCCCTGTGTATGCAATATGCCCGTGAAGAGCATGGGCTCTGGGGTCAAGCTACCAGGTTCCAGTCCTGATTCTTGCCAGCAAACAGCTGGGTAACTGTGGGCAAGCTGGCTAATCTCTCTAAGCCTCAGGTCTCTCACCTGCAAAATGGGAAAAATAGTAGTGCCCGCCTCCTCAGGTAATTTGAGGATCGAAGGAAGCACGGGGCTCTTAGAATAGTGCATGGTGATACATGTGATTTTTTTTCCCCTATTCATACGTTTGTGTTGCCCATATACTCTTGGCGCATTTCAATAAAATTGTTTGGAAAAAAAAGGAATACTGCCTGGTGAATGCTTAATAGGCAGTGGATACAATAGCAGCAGTAATATTTGTAGTAGTCACAGAAGTGAAAATAGAAAGCTTTTGGGGATCCCTGGGGGGCTCAGTGGTTTAGCGCCTGCCTTCAGCCCAGGACGAGATTCTGGAGTCCCGGGATCGATCCCACATCGGGTTCCCTGCATGGAGCCTGCTTCTCCTTCTGCCTGTGTCTCTGCCTCTCTCTCTCTCTCTCTCATGAATAAATGAATAAAATCTTAAAAAAAAAAAAAAAAAGCTTTCCTCCTCTTGTTGACTGAAGGTGCCTTCTTACATGGAACCTAGAAAATCTGGGAAGCAAAAGGTTCCCGTTTCTTCATTCTCATATACCAGGAGTGTTGAGAAGTCCAAATAAAATATTTTTAGCTAATCACAACTGCAGATGGATCCAAACCACCTGTGAAGGGAGCTAGAGCTGTTTCCCCACTGTTTAATTATGAAAATAACAGAAGCATAAGCAGAACACTTTTCTCAATTTTTAAAAATTCCACATATATATGAGCATTTACTAAATAAAAATAGTCAAAGAATACTAAGTTTACCAAAAATCCCATTCCTTAATTTAACCAGTACTCATTGAATACCACGATGCCATCACCATGCTAGGCCTTGTGCTAGATATTAATAGTAGGATGAAATGGTGAATCACACCAAGTCTTTGGCCTATGGAGCTTATGTTCTAGTAGGGAGATAAGGAATTCAAAAGTTTTCAACTGTAATAGTATTGGATACATCTTTGCTTTTTATGTGCATATATCACACAATTACCCCAACTTTATAAATGTATAAAACATATATGTACATATGTGTCTGTATATTCAATTTATTAATCTGATTTTTCATCCAGGTAGCATATGATGAGCTTCCTTCCATAATAAAGTATTCTTCTGAAAATGTCTTTAAATGATTGCATAATATTCCATTATATGGATGTACCAAATATAGCTAACCAAGTTGGTTTTGCACATTTGTTCTTTCATTATTGTAAGAAGTCTTCTGGGGGCTCCTTACTATATCGGACATATCCTTGATTAATTCGCCAGGACTCAGTTCTAGTCCTAGAATAGCAGATCAAAGGTGCTATTTTTATATTCCTTATATTGTTTTGAGATGACACAATCAAAAACCTATCTCCTGCATTATGGAGGTTACTTGGCTAATGTGATTGCTGATGAAGAAAAGGAAGTCAGTGGCTTTGTTCAGGTCTTAGCTTCCTTGTTAGTACCTTATGTATTTCATCACACCAGCCAGAGGTATGTAATTCATCAGCATCAGTTAATTATTCATCAGCAAAGTAGTTGTTCAGCTATAGCACCTATAGAAGACTTAGAAGTTAAAATTGTGCCAAAGTAGATTACATATGCATTAATGTGACATAAATAACATTTCAGGTTTTATAATCCCTTCATCTATAAAATGGATATTATTCAAACTGAAGATTAGAGAGGAAATCCAGAATTATTTTCCTCCAATGTTATCATCCAATAATTCTTAAACAGTTGTGCTTTTGGAATGATTCATAACCATGGAAAGAGGACTTTGAAGGTTAAAATTGTAGTCTCCCTTTCCCATATGCATGAATCCTTTTTTATTTCTTCATTTGCTTGTTTTGTAAATTGATCACCTCACTTCTGGTTTTATAATAGATAAGTAAAACCAGAATAGATTGTGGTCGAAATTTTATTTAAGACTGTACCTTTCTGAATGGCTTTTACATGCCATTTACATTTTTTTTTTTTTTTTAGATTTGGATCCTACAAAGAAGGACACCATTATGAGAACAATCATCATTTTCATATGAGTACACCCAAATACTTTTTATGAACTATTTAAAACAGGGTTCATTGACTGGCAAGTCTAAGGAAAACAAAAGTATGTAAGAAGAGATGAATGAAAGTGGGGAACTACACACAAAGAACCTCAATTTTGAAAAACATATGGTATTTATGCAGTGGGAAATTCTATCGGTTTATAAAATATATCACTAAATAAAGGCATTTCTCTGAATTGTTTTTCTTAAGGTTATGATTAAATATAGAATGTGGGTAATATAAGAAAGTTTTACTACTAGAGATAAAATCATAAAAATGTCTTACCTTTTTAATGCTTAAAAATAGGAAACTGATTTATTGATGAGCTAGAAGGGCTACTTAAAAAAATCAAGCAGCCTTAAATTCCTGTTCCAAAGCAAGGAAAAAATGTTTAATGATTAAGTCTAATTGTTAGAAGAAATATGTGTTCATATAACTGTTGTTGACTCATCAGGAGAAGCATGGCCACCACCATCCTTCCTGGAGCTATGATGGAATCATCTGTCTTTTCTCCCTTCTTTGCATGACACCCTGTGGTGTTATCTGCAGTCAGGCCCCAGCTGTCAGGGAGCACACCTCAGCCCACAGAGGCGTCCCACAGAGTTCATTTTCTTCCTTAGAACCAAGCCCGTAGGTAATAGGGAGAATTCAGCCCCAAGGCATCATCTCTACAGGGAATAGTAATTTATTTACATGTTGATAGAGGCACATACCATCTTAGAACTACAAAAGGCCCTAAATGTTGTTTTATCTTTTTGGGGTGGGGATAAAAAAGGCAAGAGGGAGAAATTCAAAGGTTTTATGTCACAATCTGAAGGGCTTCCTTAGATCTATTTAGTAAACATGTATTATTAAGCACACTGCCATACACAAAACACTATGTCCCTGTGGTGGTTTGGAAATAGATCTACACTCTCCTCCAGGGATCACTTCAGTAGTTCATTTCTAGAGCAGTTTCTCTGAATAATATAGAGTACCCAAGAAGTTGTGGGGTTTTGTTTCATTTTATTTTGTTTTTAGAATGTGTTTGAACTTAACTATCAATTAGACTGCTATATACTTAGGGTGTTATATATTAACATCATGGTAACACAAACCCAAAACCTATAATAGATACACAAAAAGTAAGGAGAAAGGAAGCCAAACATAACCTGATAGAAACTCGTCAATCATGAAGAAGGCAAAAGAAGAAGAAAGGAGCAGAAAAGAACTACAAAAACAGAACCAACAACAAAATGGAGGTAAGTACATACCTGTTATTACTGAAAATGTAAGTGGCCTAAATGCTTCACTCAAAAAACATAGGGTGGCAGATTAGTTTAAAAAAACAAGACCCAGGGACGCCTGGATGGATCAGCAGTTAAGCATCTGCTTTTGGCCCAGGGCGTGGTCCTGGGGCCCCAGGATCGAGTCTCACATAGGGCTCCCTGCATGGAGCCTGCTTCTCCCTCTGCCTGTGTCTCTGCCTCTCTCTCTCTCTGTCTCTCATGAATAAATAAATAAAATCTTAAAAAAAAAAAAAAAAACACAAAACAAGACCCAGCTGGATGCTACCTACAGGACACTCACTTCAGATGTAAAGACACAAAACAGACTGAAAGTGAAAGGTTGGAAACACATTTACCATGTAAATAGAAGCCAAAAAAAAAAAAAAAAAAAAAGGAATAGCAATACTTATATCAAACAAAATAGATAAAATCAAACAAAACAGACTATGTAGCAAGAGACAAAGAAGGGCATTATATAATGATAAAGGAATCATTCCAACCACAGAGTGTAACAGTTATAAATATCTATGCACCCAACATTGGAGTACCCGAATACATAAAGCAAATACGGACAGACATAAAGAGAGAAATTGATGGTAATACAATAATAGTAGGGGACTTTAATACCCCAGTTACATCAATGGATAGATCATGCAGGCAGAAAATCCATAAGGAAACAGTATCTCTGAATGATACACTAGACCAGATGGACATGACAGATATATAGAGAACATACCATCCCCAAACAATGGAATACATATTCTTTTCTAGTGTACATGGAACATTCTCCAGAAGAGACCACACATTAGGCCATACAACAAGCCTCAATAAATTCCAGTAGACTTAAATTCATACCATGAATTTTTTCGGACCACAACAGTATGAAACTAGAAGTCAATCACAAGAAAAAAACCTGAAACAAACACAAAAACACAAACATGGAGTCTAAACAACATGATACTAAACAACCAATGGACCAATGAAGGAATCAAGAAATAAAAAGTACGTGGAGACAAATGAAAATATAATAGTCCAAAATCTTTGGGTTGCAGAAAGAGAAGTTCTAAGAAGGAAATATATAGTGATACAAGACTTCCTCAGGAAACAATCAGTTCAGATAAACAACCTAGCCTTTACATCTAGAGGAACTAGAAAAAGAAGAACAAACAAAGCCCAAAATGAGTAGAGGGAAGGAAATAATAAATGTGAGAGAAGAAAAAAATGACAGAGACTGAAAAAAAAAGAAAAGAAAAAATCAATAAAACCAAGATTTGTTTCTTTGAAAAGATAAAATTGATAAACCTTTAGCCAGACTCATCAAGAAAAAAAGGGTGGGATTGTGCCATTTGGGACAACACAATGGACGTAGAGGTTATTATACTAAGTGAAAAAAGTCAGGCTGAGAAAGACAAGCATGTGACTTCAATCACGTGGAATCTAAACAAATGAATAAACAAACAGAAAGCAGAACCAGATCTGTAGCAAACAGACTGATGGTTGCCAGAGGGAAGGGAGTAGGGAGCTGGGGAGTGGGGGATTCCAGTTATGGAATGAATAAGGAATAAGTCATGGGAATAGAAGTAGGGAATATGGTCGTTGACATTGTAATAATGCTCTATGGGGACAAATGGTAGTAGCCACCCTTGTGGCGGGTGTGGCATAACGTATAAACCTGTCAAATCACTATGCTGTACACCTGCAACTAATGTAACATGGCGGGTCAACTATACTCATATTTAAAAAATTTTTTTTTAATTAAATAAAAGATAACATTTCTACAAATGATTTGGCACTTCAAAAAGTGGAGCCTACGTCTCCTTTTTTGAGTGTGGAATCGACATAATGACTCACTCCTGATGAAGAGAGTAAAGTCAAAGTGATGCTGTGGGACTTCCAAGCTTAGGTTATAAGAGGTATTTTGGCTCCTGCCTTTGTCTCACTCTCCTGGGTCTGAGAGAAGCCAGCTGCCATGTCATGAGCAGCCCTGAGGAAAGGTGGTGAAGAACTAAGGCCTCTCTCCAATGGCCATGTCAGCGAACCACCTCAGATGTGGCGTCTCCAG